CCAAGCCAATAAAGTAAACAACTTGTGAACCCTTGGTTATTTTTTAAGTTGGAACAATAGAAACAGCCTGAATGGGTGGGGTCAAGCTCTCACACAACTAGGATTTTAGTTTAACTTTCAGTGGGTGTTGGGGTTTGGAAGCTGCTTTCCATGTCTCCCTGTTACAGCAAAATGCTTGAGTTCTCTCTCACTCTCTGAGTATTCTCTTGATGTTATTTCCTTCTAGGGTGGAGAATGGCATGTGAGACAATCTATTTTATTGAATTTGCCTTAACCATGGTGTGTTTATGGGACGTTACTATATTGGAATAGTTGCTGTTTAGTAGTTAAATAATCTATTGTTCTGTTAAGTTTTTCAATAGAGTTAAGTTATTCCAATTCTTCTTTCTTTTGTTTATATTTTAACTATAGTGTAAGAATAAAGTGTGTTTTGATTCAAGCCTGGTTGTTGGACCAATCGAATTGCATCCAGAACACTATGCCTTACACTTGCCTTTAAAAATAACAAAGTTACAGTCTAGACCGTCTTCTTAATACATTTGGGGGTGGGGGGTAGAATTTGGCCTGGTCCATTACAAATGTCGAAGGCTGGAGATTCTGCAATGATTATCTGCCCTGCTGACTCTGCAAAGCTGGCTCACTACCTACAAGGCATATATCAGGAGTGTGATGGAATACACCCCACTTGGCTGGATGACTGCAGTTCCAATGACACTCAGGAAACTTTACACCATGTAGGAGAAAGCAGCCCTCATGACTGGCATCCCAAGAATCACCCTCCACATTCACTCCATCCGCTATAGTGTACAGTAACAGCAGTGTGTAATATTGACAAGATGCACAGCAGCAACTCACTAAAGTTCCTTCGATTACACCTCCCAAACATGTCACACCTCTACCACCTAGAGGATGACAGCAATAGATGCATGGGAACTACTCTTTTATTTTAAAGACACTTTGATCATGCATTTACATTTTAGGTCAAATTTCCATTCTTGGATTCATGAAAGAGCAGCTGATATCAACTATCTTATCAATTACAAATTCAGAAATTTGCAATGCTGTTTGGTGGTTTTACACTAGAAGTAGAATTATTTGCAATTACTTTGGAACACTCTTGCTTGCGCACTGTCTCAGATTAATCCTGAACATTGTAAGGCTAAATTTTTGAAAGACGAGGCATTTAGTTGAAATTATAACATTGACTCTTGATGCCAACAATGTCTCAAATTCTTAAAGCTATACCAACAAACTTCATGAGGTTCAGGAAACCCTGATCTCCTATTCAATAAGATATAAAACCAACTTTATTTTCAATTTATAATTCCATTCTGGCACCTTGGAGAAATACCAATTTAAATTAAGAAACTTAAATTTATCAACGGCCTTATATTGTTGAATATTCAGCTGTACAGATGTTGGTTGGTGAATTTAGACATTAACAGCTGTCTACAGAAAGAATTGGCTCTATTATAAGTTTATAAGAGAAGAAAGAGAAAAATTGTCAGAGGCAGTTGTGTTCCTTCATGTAAACTTAAGAAAACTTCAAGGGCAATTTTCTTTTCTTGCTTCAACGTAATGAAAAGTGGCCAAAATATTCCTCATACAATTCAATTTCAACAAATTTCAGGTTGGGTGGCATGGTGGCTCAGTGGTTAGCACTGCTGCCTCACAGCACCAGGGACCTGGGTGTGATCCCACCCTTGGGCAACTGTCTGTGTGGAGTTTGCACATTCTCCCCACGTCTGTGTGGGTTCCCTCTGGGTGCTCTGGTTTCCTCCCACAGTCCAAAGATGTGCAGGCTAGGTGGATTGGCCATGCTAAATTGCCCGTAGTGTTCAGGGATGTGCAGAAGAGGTGTGTTATATGGAGATGGGTCTGGGTGGGATGCTCTGAGGGTCGGTGTGGACTTGTTGGGCCGAAGGGCCTGTTTCCACACAGTAGGGATTCTATGAATCTATGTCTATGAAATAAATTTGAGATTTTCCTTGACTTTTAACAGGACCCAGAAAGCACAAAAAATGTTACTACAATTTTCACCAGCCCTGTGAATTAAAAAGCAGCTAAACATGGCAGAAGAGATTTGCAACATCACCATTGAACTGCATGTATTCTGAGAAACAATGTATTGGATGATCCCATTACAAAATGTTTTCAGATCATCATCTTAATGATTGTTACCGCAGTAACCAATAATTTAAAATCATTTAACAATCATTCAAAAGTATCAATTATCTATGTGGTAATCTCATGTTCACAACTAGATATTTTCACACAGTTTAAGAAAACCAGAATTTCACAGTATTCTGGTTTTCTCAAACTGTGTGAAAATGTCTAGTTGTGGACATGAGATTACCACATAGATAACTGATGCCTTTAAATGACTGTTAAATGATTTTAAATTATATGTTCACAATCCAGTTCCCCATGGTCAAACTATCACTTTCGCCTTTTGCTGATGTTTCAAAAATTCACAAGTTCGGGCTAGAGCTGACTTGCCAAATGTTATTTTAAAACCCACGTATTTCACTTGAGTAGTAATTAAGTTAGTTTGTTCTTCTGATTGTAACAATCTTATTCTTTATTTCAGCATAAAATAAAATTTACAAATGAATATCATCAACAGACACTTCAGAAAGCAGTTTACAAACCGGGTGATACAAGCAATCAGAAGGCACAATTAAACTAAGAATGTGTTGTGCTGATTGTCCCACCAAAGTGCAGAAAATGCTACCCCTTTTACACTATTATACCTTAGTCAGCTTGAAATTCTCCCCTTTTTCCATTTGGTTCCTTTATTGCACACTACCTCATCTGATCATCTATAGCCTAATTCTTTGTATTCTGTCATCAGACATGCACCAGCAACCTTCAAACATCACATATTGACAGCAACAGCTATAATGTTCCTGTTGCCACAAAAACAACAAACATTTATACAATGCATTGGATGCAGTGAAACATCCCAAGGTAGCATTGAGCAAAATCAATTTTAGACATTTTTCTGATAAAATAGAGAAGGTGATTAAACATTTGTTCAAAGAGGTAGAGTTTTAGGAGCATTTTAAAACAGGAGAGAAAGATGAAGGTGTGTAAAGGCATCAGGAGAGATTTGCAGAGATTAGGGCCAACGCATGGAGATCTCAAAAGGTTGTAGGGCTGGACAAGGTCAGACAGCTAAAGCAGAATGAGGTTAGGGAAGCATTTGAAAATAAAATGGGGGCTTTAAAAACTGAGGCGCTGTTGGATTGAGAGACAGTAAAGGTCAGCAAGTTTAGTGAAGGGGCAAGGAGATTCGGAACAAATTACAGTACAGGCGAAAAGTTTTGGGTGAATATGAGATTATGTAGAGTGGCCCCCTGGACCCAGGCCAGTTAACATTGAAATAATTGCATTCCAAAATAGCATATTGAATGGACCTTATGTTTCAGCTCCAAGCTGTTGCTTGGTAAACTAGCCATTCATGAGAACTAATTATTGCTTGGTTAATCTTCAACCTTCCCTTTCTTTCTCAGATGAGGTGCCACACTCAGAACCCTATCTTTCCATATGGCTCTTCAGAGAATGCCTCAATCTCTGGTTATAGATCCTTAGAAATGCAACACACTCCCTTCTGTACAGGTCCCAAAGGAAAAACCACGACTGCACATATTTCTCTCAAATCTTTATTAGAATTATCCTATTTACCACAGAATCTACTAAAGCTACACTGGTGATCTGAGATGGTCTTAGTTACTGAGAGAATCCTGTCATCTTTCAAAGCAGCCTGCAAATTGTGTCCTGAGCTCTGAACAGAGATCAGGAATAGAATCCTGTCTTCACAACTGGACCGAGTCACCCCGAATCCTAGGCCTGCGCCCAATTAATCCAAGACATCATTGGGTGCTTGTCTGTCAAAGACACCGTTCCTTCGATAGAAAGCAGATTCCACCATTGCCGATCGCCCAAAGGCTGGTTTCTTGTACTCAGCATCATCCTCTGTCAGGAGAGAAGTGCAGCAATTGGTTGAAGGGCTCTTGCTGTTCCTACCAGATGGTCACTCCTTCCTGATTGGCTCATTCTACAATGCACACTTGGGTGAAGGTACTAAGCATTCATTTCAGGTTAGAGACCCAGAGCAGACGCAGTGCAAAGCTCTGCTCACTCTCCATGTTCCAGAGACCTGGAGCAGATGCAGTGGAAAGCTCTGCTCACTCTCCACGTTCCAGAGACCCGGAGCAGACGCAGTGCAAAGCTCTGCTCACTCTCCACGTTCCAGAGACCCAGAGCAGACACAGTGCAAAGCTCTGCTCACTCTCCACGTTCCAGAGACCCGGAGCAGACACAGTGCAAAGCTCTGCTCACTCTCCATGTTCCAAGTCTCGAATAGATAATGCATTGGGATAACAGCACAAAGATTCTCAGTGGAACACCTGTTGGCAGAAACACAATAGCTCCTTGTGTGGGGATTTGAAACCATCACAGGAACACTGAAGCTTTGAGATTGGGTCATATTAGTGAGACTAAAAACCAGAGGCAGTTTTACTCTGGTACTAACATGTGTTATACTTGTCATGAGAGTGTTTGATGGTACAGTGTACAAGGATCTTCACTCTGCATCTAACCTGTACTGAATTTACTCAGGAAATGTTTAATAACACTGTGTGGAAGGGGCTTTACTCTATATACTATTCAATCCAAATATATGAGTCCCAATAGATTCAGCCTGAATTGATTGAAATTTTATAAAATGTATTGGACTGAACAACAGTAAAAGCAGTCTGACCATATGATCAAATGATAAAAAGCAACTGTTCTCAGCCAGATAGTGAAAAATCACACTGAAGCAAACATTTCTGTTGACGGAGATAGCAAGAACTGCCAATGCTAGAATCAGAGATAACACAGTGTGGAGCTGGATGAACACAGCAGTCCAGGCAGCATCAGAGGAACAGGAAAGCTGACGTTTTAGGTTGGGATCCTTCTTCAGAAACCCAGGGTCCCGACCCGAAACATCGACTTTCCTGCTCCTCTGATGCTGCTCAGCGTGCTGTGTTCCACAAGCTCTACACTGTGTTATTTCTGTTGACGGTCTGTTTCACCTCCCAGAGAAAGAAACCATCCGTGTCTGGAATGGATTTGAGTCTGGATGTGAACCTCGGTTGTTGGATAGTGTTTGACACAAGGTCCACCAAGGTGAAAGGTCAACCTCCGATTGGGTACCAATCCCTTTTGTCATGCCAGTGGGCTAAACATTATGACCCCTGCATAGTAACAGCGATCCCAACTCCCTGTCCAGCAAGCCTGACCATTACTCCTCTCACAGCAATACTGACCCCCACCAAACTCTCAGTCCTGTCCTGAGCAGTAACAATGAAATCCCTGCCCCAGCTATAAGCCTTAACCTTGCCTTGCTGACATTCTCTCACCTAATTTCCAGCCATACTCCCAGGAGGAGGTAATGGCATGGTTATATTTTTCACTGGGGCCTTTCTTTGTCCGTGCCTTTAGGTATTGGTATCTCCCTTTCTCTTCCTTAGAGAATCCATCGTAGAGCAGTGCACGCACCTCAGGGGTGACAGGCCTCATATCACTGAAGGAGTCTGTTGCAACTTTCTCTTCAGCTTTTGGCTTTTCCATTTCACCTTTTGTCACCGAGGCCTCCTTCTCCTGCTCTGTTGATTTCTGCTCCGAGAGATTAGTGTGAGGTCGCACAAGAACCTTCTTAAGCTCTGTTCCTCTTCTTGGTATCTTGTTGAGGCCTTGCTGGTCATGCCTCAGCCAACATAGCCTCAGTAGGTCCTCTTTGGTGATGCTTTCTTTCCAGAAGTTTTGCTTCTTATTGTCCATGATGAGTTTTCGGTTCATGGGCACAGGTCTTCAGGTGTTCTTGTCCATGTGTTGAAACATGGACATATACAAGGCGAGCATTACAGACAGGACCCTCTCCACGTGCTGACTGGGTGTCCATTTGGTATCTAAGCAATCAGTGTTACATTTACAATTGTAATGAGAGACAGGAAGTGACATGGATAATGAAACTGACACATTGCGGCAGGACAGGCTGAATTGGTTGAGTCTCTTTAAAAGAAACTTCTGAGGCGCTGCCCCTGTGGAGGTCTTTTAAAATTATGAAGAGCTTTGACAGCATGGACATTTAGATGCTTTCTAGTTGAACGAGCCTCCGAAACTAGGGACTTATTATAAGAAAATTATCAACAAATCTAATTCAGGAGCAACTTCATGGAGAGTGGCTAGAAGATCATAAGTACTCGGAGGGAATATGACAAAGAGCATGACGTATTTACAGGAAGGCTGGATAAAAAAAAATTGGATGAAAGGAAAAAAAGGATCCAATGATGGAGTTAAATGAAGAGGAGTGGGAGGTGGGTAGCATGGAACATTAACACCAGTGTAAATCTGTTGGACCAAACGGCCTGTTTCTTTGCTATCAGTTTGAGGAAATTCAATATGTGACATGCCAGCAACACTCACCCTTAGAAGGAATGCATGATTATGAAGAGAGGGAAGTACTTTCCTTCATTTACCAAAAGAAAACTTCTTAGGATGGTCTGTACTGGGAGTGAGGAGAACATTGTCACCAGCCTTAGGAGCAAGACTGATTATGCTCTGCTAAGTATGGATCAGAATATGTTTGACATTCCCACTTTTGTTCCAGGATAAGGATAATGCGTATTTCGTAATGACCTGCTGGTTTCCTTCCAGAAAGGAAATCTGAACCAGTTGGGTTTTTGTGATATTCAGCAGTTTTACAGAACCTTTGAGGTTAATTAACTGGATCCATTTCTAAGATCTTTGGGAGTATATCCAGTTCTTTGTCATGGGGGTTATTCTGTCAAACAGCTCTTGGTTGAGCAATGTAGAGGCATCTTACTTTAAAACGGATAGAGACAAAAGGAATCGCTGAATTTTGTCCAAGTAAAAATCCACAACAATCATTGATCAAAATTATTTTCCAATTACTGACTGCCACATTGATTTGATCATTTATCATCACTTATGCACGTTGCTGCTCATGAGTTCAGCACACAAATAAAGTATCAAACTTGAGAATTGCCATAAAGTAGTGGACATAAAGTTGACTTAATCTTGGAATTAAAGGATTATACTCTCACAAAACTGTTTTACAGCAGCCTCCAGCTAACTAATTCTATGATAAGGCAATGGTACAGGCCATCTGATGGAGATCTAAATAGTTGCAAACTTTCTACTCATGGGATGTACATACGCCTTCAGCCCCGTTTCTTCACTGAATTACAGCTTCTGCCTTAAGAGCAGGTTTAAAAACAGAGTTCCTCCCTTTTCCTTTGCTTGGAAATCTGGATGGTGCTGGCAGAATTCACAACCATTTAGAAAAGTGACATTGTGTATCAGGCTTGAGGAGGCTCCAAATTCCATATCCTGTCAGTAAAAGCAGAGAAAGAGCCCACATGTAGGTACAGCCTTTCACATACACATACTTTGTAATTTGAAACACCAGATTACTCCCGGGTCCTAACTTTCCCAAAACTAAAGTTTCAGAGTTTGCCCTACTAATGTGCATAATTAAAAAAAGGAAGAAAGTTTACAGATACAAGTTAACAATTCATCATTAGAAACAATCTGCTTGCAATAAACTAGGCAATGGCTTGTGGTATTATCACTGGACGGTTAAGCCAAAGACCCAGGTAATGTTCTGGGAACAGTAAGGACTCCAGAAGCTAGAAACCACAGCAGGTCAGACAGCATCAGAGAAGCAGGAAAGTTAACATTTCAGGCCGAAACCCTTCGTCAGGACTGGGGAGCCCAGAAATAAATACAGGGACAGGGGGTGGGGCTAGGGAAAGATAGGTGGGATGGTGACATGGGGGATGCAGGGGTAAGGGGTTTTAGGGCTTGGTCAATGGGAAGGGTGGCACGGATAGGGGAGTAGGAAGATAGACAGGTTAGGGCAGGTCATGGAGGCAGTACATGGGATAAGGCTTGGGGTGGATGGATTTTGAAGCTGGTAAAGTCAATAATCAGGCCTTTGGGCTGTAAGCTCCCAAGGTGAAATATCAGGTGTTGTTCCTCCAGTTTACATTTGGCCTTACTCTGACAGGTGAGCGAGAGGACGGATTGCAGCCAGAGGATTGGGTTGGTTGGTGTGTGCAGAGCACAGATGCTCCGTGAACCGGTCCCCACGTCTGCATTTGGTCTCCTTGACGTAGAGGAGACCACATCAGGAACTACGGATGCAATAAATCAAGTTGAATGAAGTGCAGGTGAATCTCTGTCAGATCTGGAAGGATTGTTTGAGGCCTTGGACAGAGGTGAGAGGGGAGGTGTAGCACCTCTTGCGGTTGCAGGGTAAGGTACCGGGTGCAGTGGAGAGTGTGGAGGCAATGAGTGAGTTGCAAAGCAAACAGTCCCTGCTGAAAGCGGACAGGGGTAGGAAAGGAAATATCTTTCTGATGTTGGGGTCTGATTGTAGGTGGCGGAAATGTCGGAGGACAATGCGTTGTATTTGGAGGTTGGTTGGGTAGTACATGAAGACTCGGGAGACTTATTGTTGTTGGGAGAGCGGAATTGAGGGCATAAGTGCAGGAAACGGGGCAGAGGCAGTTGAGGGCATCCTTAATTACAGTGGAGAAACTACAGTCTCTAAACTAGGAGGATATCTGGTGTGTCCTAGAGCAGAACGCTTCAACCGGGGAGCAGGATTTCCTTCCTCACCGCTTTCCGCGGGGACCATTCACTTCACAACTCCTTCATCAGCTCGACATTCCCCACCAACCTCTCACTACACCCAGCACCTTTCCCTGCGACTGCAAGAGGTACAACACCTGGCCCCACCCCTCCCCCCCGCCGCCCCAAACAATCCTTCCAGATCTGGCAGAGTTTCTCACCTGCACCTCATCCAATCTGATTTATTGCATCGGTTGCTCCTGCTGTGGTCTCTTCTATATCAGAGAGGCTAAACACAGACTCTGGGACCAATTCACAAAGCATCTGCATTCTGCACGCACCAACCATCTAACCCAATCTTCCAGTTGCCATCCATTTTAGTTCCCCTTCCCACTCCCCTGATGACATGTCCATTCTTGGCCTCCTCCATTGTTGGAGTGAGGGCAAACAAACTGGAGGAACAGCACCTGATATTTCACCTTCAGAGCTTACAACCCCAAGGGCCTGAAAACTAACCACCAACTTCAAAATCCCTCTAGCTGTAGCCTTACCCCATATCCTGCCTCCCTGACCTGTCCACCTTCCTACTGACCCAAAAATCACTGCAATCTTCTACCTGCATTCACCTATTACCATCCCAACTACCCTTCACCCCCGCCATTTATGTCCAGGCTCCCCTCCCTGTCCCGTCCTGGTTTATACAACAATCAGCAATCCAGTTCACAAGTGTCCTTTAGGGAAGGAAACTGCTATCCTTACTGGGCTGGTTAGATGACTCCAGACCCACAGCAAGGTGGTTGACTCTGAACTGCCCTCTGGGCAATTAGGGATTAGCAATACATGCTGGTCTAGCCAGTGCCACCCACATCCGGAATGAATAAAATAAAAATGTACAGAAATCTGGTACATGTTTTATATTAATCTGAGTTTGCCTGGTCAATTTGATTATTTGTGAAAAGGTTTAGTGATAATTTCAGGAATAGTGGGGCTTGGTTTCCCACCCAATATCCCAGTGGCTCATGACATCATGGACAAGTTAAAAAGCACAACCCAGAACCTCAGCAGATTTACTATACCTGGGGAAAAGGAGGGAGTGGGGCAGTGTGTACGAAACAACTTGTGTTCTTACAACACCTATAATGGCTTAAGGCACTTCATGATAAATCTGACGAAAACCCGAGAGGAGCCTATAGGAAGTAACCAAAAGTTTGATCAGAAGTTTAAAAAAAGGAGCAAATTTGAATTAGGGCCTCAGCAGGTAAAGGTACAAGGAGCAGTCTTTCAATGGAAAGAAAAAGTGTATGGGGGTAGAAAGTGCAAGGCCAGCCAGGATAGCACAGGTATTTAACTAAAAATGGCCCATTACAGGGAGAGTAGCACATGTAACTGAAAATGAGACAACCTATTGAAATGGCACAAGTGGGAAGAATTCAGTACAAGAAATATCAGAAGCTGGCAGCAAGATAGAACTTGGTGTTTATTTATTGATGTACAGATCAGGACTCAGCAGCACTATAAACAACTCCTCAAAGGGCACAAGAAAAACTCAACAAAACCAGATAGAAACTGCATTCAGCATCTGTTAACCAGTACAAACTAGGAGTGGTCAGGGTGCATGTGAGGATTCAGTAATCAACCATTGTTTTTAGTGGTGTATACCTATTAAATAACAACACCAGCTTCTCACCAACCCTCAGCCCAGGTACCAGTGCTTGATGCATGAACAGTTCCAAATCATTTCCAGCTTGGAGAATGTTTAAAAAAAACTGATTGGTTGGGGTCACCTTCTGTCCAACCTTCAATAATCTAACAGAAATAAAATCAAATGATACAATTAAACATGACAGAAGAGTAATCTTTCCTCTACAAACAATCCATCAAATACATCTAGGGCAGTAACAGTGCAGGACAAATGCAAAAAAAAAAATCAACAGAAGTTCACATCCTATTACTGGTGATGGTAACACTACTCCAGGAGAACAGAAACATCTTGGCAACCAGCACACCAAAGCTCTGGGTTGGGACAGTCATCTCAGGAGTGGGGAAGACAACTTTCCATGGGGAATGATTGATTTGAAAGCAGACTCCATGCTTTGCACACTACATTACAAGACTACACAAAAGCGAGGCAAGACTGGAGTGAACAGCTCCAAGCAAGTCCGGCTACCGGAAGTCATCAGTACTGAACATTCCCTTAGCACGGCGCAGGATGGAGTCCTTGGATGCATCATACGGGTGCTCCTTGGAAGGGATTTCCAACACAGCAGGAATGGAGAGAGTATGGGCATCAATGACGTGACGAATCATTTCTGCAATGTACTGATTGATCAGGATGATCCCAATGTCATCACGGCTCAAGAAACTCCTGCAGGGGAAAGAAAAACCGGAACGTTTATTCTGACAGCTCCCGACATCACCAGCTGGACAGGACTAGCATGGTGAGGACCAACCTGTACACAGCCTGACAGAAAAACAAAAGGAGGCAAAGTTTATCCACTGGCCTGCACTTTACTATCCCCAGGAGGAACACAGTCCCCTGACATTGTCAGACACTCAGCTCTTAATGTAAAGATGGAATCCACCACATCTTGTGTGATGCTGAGCACCACACCTCACAGTAGAGGCTCCTCTTGTAAACAAGCACGACTACAGAAATAAATAAACCACACAACCACGAAACAGGAGGCTATCCTTGGCTTGAAACAGCAATAAATTTTGGGGACAGGCAATTAATATCAAACTGAGTTGTCCTTGTTGAAGGAAGGGACATGGGAGGAAAGCCAGTCCGTTCAGGGTGGATACAAATTGGAGCAAAGGCTGGTTCAACCAACCTTCAGCAACAGCTGACTGACACAGCAAAAAGTGCTAGCAACGACAGTGTTAAAGTCACAGGAGGACTCACTTCCTCAAACATGGTCCAAATGAATCCTGCGCTACTTTCAGGATCGCTCAGCTCATATAGGCAGACCTGATTTCTCAATGCCATCGGCACCCTGCAGAATTCACAAAACCAAGGGGGAACTACACAGGGTCAACCTCCATCACTCACATTCCCAGGCCCCAGGGTCGTTCAGATGGTGAGAATAGAACAAGGACACTAGACCCTGGTGCTCCTCCTTCACCACTCAAACCCAGGACATTGATTGGAGACCCAGGGAGTGCCCCAGACAGTCTGGATCAAACTGGAAGTTTGCTCCATCCCCACAGTGCGGCCCAGGGGAAGGTACAGCCTATTGACTGACACCAACCAGCAGGACAGTGAGCAGATTAAATACGGGGGTGATCTTAACCGAGGCATATATATTAACCAATAACACCAGGAATGACTCTCCTGCTCTGGGGCCTTTCAATGTCCACCCGAGGCCAGGCCCCAGACCGGTTCACCGCCCCCAGAGCCAGAGCTCATCCCCGGCCTCGAGTTCCGCCTTGTTTCTTCGCTCTCACTTGAAGGTCTCTTCGATCTCGGTCACGCTCGTCTCCTTCTCCACCACCAGGAAGTTGGGCCGGCGGTTCTTGTTTAACTCTCCGATACCGCCGAGCAGGAACCCAGTGCAGGTATCCTCGTCCCCGAGTACAGCAATTAACTTCCCCCTCAGCGCCATTCCGGCGTCTGAAGGCAGCTTCCGGCGGCCGCCTCTTTTATAGAGGCTCCGGCAGGCTGCGCCTGCGCACAATTAGCTCGCACCCCGCAATGACGTCACCCACAGGGGGCAACTTCACAGACTGAGCGCGTTCGATGTTAGCGCATGCGCAGCATGGAAGTGCCCTGGAACTGACATTTGTGCATTCAAGTTGTGAAATACAACCTCGCCAGACACTGCACTGGCACTGCATCAGAGACTGTACCTGACGCTGCACTGGCATTGCACTAGCCCTGCATCAGACACTGCACCTGGCACTTCATCAGGCCCTGCACTGACACTGCACCAGATACTTACATGGCATTATACCAGATACTGCACCAGGCACTACACCAAGCACGGTCACTAAACAGACACTGCTGTATCTCTGTATTGGAGACAGCCTCCTTTCTGGCTTTGTAGAAAGGAGGGGGATGAAGCAAGTATGGGCCTCATCCATGCTTCAGGGCAATTTTGGTGAGTGGTACTTATCGTCAAGGTGCACACCTCACCTGCCATTGGTAACCTCAGAGCAAACACGGCTGGTCCAGATTATTCACCACTGTGAACAAACCAAGAGAATAAATTGTCAGCCCTTGGTGAACATACATTTCTTATTATTTTTGTGGAGGAAAGTGGTGAAGTGGAGAGAGGTAAAGGTGTAGTGGCAGTGTCATGGGACTAGTAATGCAGAAATCTGGGCCAATGGTCTGGAGATATGGGTTCCAATTCCACCACAGCGGCTGGATAAACCTCAGAATCAGTTAATAAAATCTGGAATTGAAAGTTTGTCTCAGTATTGGTGACTGTGAAACTATCATCAAGTAGACCAGAAGACTTTTTTATTTATTCATTCATCAGATGTGGGTGTCACTGGCTGGGCCAGCATTTATTGCCTGTTCCTTGCTGCCCTTGCAAAAATGGTGGTGAGCTGTCTTCTTGAACTGCTGTAATCCATTTGATGTAGGTACACCCACAATGTCATTAGGGAGGGAATTCTAGGATTTTAACCCAGCAGCACTAAAGGAACAGTGATGTATTTCCAAGTCAGTATGGTGAGTGGCTTGGAGGAGAACTTGTAGATGGTGGTGTTCCCAAATATCTCCTATCTTTATTCTACTTGAGGGAAGTGATTGTGAGTTTGGAAGGTGCTGTCAAAGGATCTTTGGTGAATTTTTGCAGTGCAATTTGTAGATTGTACGCACTGCTGTTATGAAGCATCAGCAGTGGAGAGAGTGGATGTTTGCAGATGTGATGCCAATCAACTGGACTTCATTATTCTTGATGGTGTCAAGCTACTCGAGTGCTGTTGGAGATGCATCCATTCAGGTAAGTAAGGAGTATGATCACAGTCTTGTGCCTTTTAGATGATGGACAGGGATCAGGAGGCCAGTTATTGCAGCAGAATTGCTAGCCTCTGACCTGTTTTTATGAAAGTGGGAGATTCAGTAATGGTAATGCTATTGAATGTCAAAGGGGAAATCACTGGATGTTCTCTCATTGGAGACGGTTACTGGCTGGCATTTGTGTGACATAAATGTTTCTTGCTACTTTTAAGTCCAAACCTGGATACAATTTACATAAATGATTTGGATAAAGGGATCAAAGTTATGGTCGCTAAATTTACTGGCAACACAAAGATAGGTAGGAAAGTGAGTTTATGTAGAGGACATAAGGAGCCTACAAAGGAATATAACTAGGTTAAGTGCTTGGTCAAAGATCTGACAAATGGAGAACAATGTGGGAACATGTGGAATTGCCCATTTTGACATATTATCTAAACAGTGAGAGGTTGCAGGGCTCAGAGATGCAGAGATATCTGGGTGTCTGAGTGCATGAGTCTCAGAAGGACAGAATGCAGGTACAGCAAACAATCAGGAAAACTAAGAATGTTATAGTTTATTCCAAGGAGAATTGAATGTAGGAGTGGGCAGCTTATGCTTCAAGTTACACAGGTATTGGTGAGACGACATCTAGAGCACTGTGTACAGTACTGATCACTGTATTTTGAGGATGTTAACATGCTGGAAGCAGTCAAGTAAACCTTCTCTGAACTAATACCTGAAATGAGTAGATTGTCTTATGAGGCAAGGGTAGACAGGCTAGACCTGCATTCTGGAGTTTAGAAGAGTCAGAGTGACTTACTTGAAACATACAAGATCCTGAGGGGACATGACCGGGTGGGTATTGAAAGGATGTTTCTTCTTTTGGGAGAATCTTGAACTAGGGTCAAAGTTTAAAAATAAGGAGCCACCCATTAAAAAACAGAGATGAGGAAACTTTCATTTTGCTCTCAGAAGTTGAGGTCTTTGAATTTCCCTTCCTCAAAAGGGTAATGATGCAGAATAAAATCATGGAATCACAGAGATGTACAGTATGAAAACAGACCCTTTGGTCGAACTCATCCATGCTGAACAAATATCCTAAATTAATCTAATCCCATTTGCCAGTATTTGGCCCACTCTAAACCCTTCCTATTCACATACCCATGTAGATGCCTTTTAAATGTTGTAATTGTACCAGCCTCCACCAATTCCTCTGGTAGTTCATTCCTTACACACACCACCCTCTGTAGAAAAAGTTGCCTCTTATGTGCCTTTTAAATCTTTCCCCTCTCACCTTAAACCTATGCCTTCAAGTTTTGGACTCCCCCACTCCAGGGAAAAGACCAATCATCCTATCCATGCCCATCATGATTTTTAAACTTCTATAAGTCACCCCTCACCCTCTGACACTCCAGGGAAAAGAGCCCCAGTTTATTCAGCCTCTCCCTATAGCTCAAACCCTCCAAACCTGGCAACATTCTTGTAGATCTTTTCTGAACCCTTACAAGTTTCACAACGTCCTTCCTAGAGCAAGACCAGAATTGCACGCAGTATTCCAAAAGTGGCTTAACCAATGTCCTGTACAGCTGCAACATGACCTCCCAATTCCTATACTTAATGCACTGACCAATAAAGGCAAGTGTACCAAACACCTTCTTCACTATCCTGTCTACCTGCGACTCCACTTTCAAGGAACTATGAACGTGCATTCCAAGGCCTCTTTGTTCAGGCCTGCCCTGATCGGCCTTTCCAAAATGCTCTTTATTTTTAAAGGCAAAAGTACATAGATTCAGGATTACCAGGAGGATGGAGGATTATTTGGGGATATACAGGAATGTGGAGTTGAGGTTAACGTACGTTAGCCATGATCTTGTTAAATGGCAGAGCAGGCTCAAAAGGGCCGAGTGGCCTAATCTTGTTCATCTATTCACTACCCGAAGAGAAGAAATGTCTCCTCATCTGCTTTAAATGGGTAACCCCTTATGCTGAGATTTTGCCCTCTGGTATTAAACTCTCACACAGGGAAACACTATTTCCACATGTAACCTGTCACATCCCCACTCAAAATCTTGTATATTTCAGAAGAGCAAGATGTGATCTTATTAAGCTGTAATGAGTACCAACCAACTCAACATTTTCTCAATCAGCCAGTCCCTCTATCCAGGATCAATCCTGCTTTGATTTCCTCCAATGTTTTGCAGGTACTGTCAAACTAGTGTCTTGTATAGTTTTAGCAAGTCATCCTTTTTTTATACTCCATTCCTTTTGAAATAAAGGCCAACATTTATTTGCCATCTCATTACCTGTTGAACTTGTATGTTAGCTTTCTACGATTTATGTACAAGGACTCCCAAAACCCACTGTGCTGTCACTTTCTGCAGTCTTTGTTCATTTAAATAATATTCAGCTTCTCTATTCTTCCTACCAAAGTGCACATTTCCCCACATTATATTGCAACTGCTAAAGCTTCACCTGCTCACTCAGCCCCTCTATATCCCTCTACAGACTGTCAGCCTCATTATTTGCCTTCCTATATATTTTTGTCATCCACAGATTTTGCCAAAGTATACTTACTTTCCTCAGCCACATCATTAATATAATTTGGAAATAATTGTGGCCCCAGAAGTGATCCCTGTGGCTCTCCACTCATTACAGTTGGCCATTCTGAAAATGTCGCAGTTAAAAAGCTGACTCTCCTTTAATGTTCTTTAGGGAAAGAAATCTGCCAACCTTACTGGAAGGGACCTAGGTGACTCCAGATCCACAGCAATGTAATGGGACTCTTAACCCTCTGAACTGATGTCAGTTCAAGGGCAATTAGGGAGTGACAACAAATGCTAACTTTGTCCATACTATGTGTATTCCAAACAATAAAATAATGCTTTCAATTTTATTCAGTGTAAATATTATAGATAATTAAGTGGTAGATTGTCAGCATTGAAGACTGCAGGATGGTCCAAAGAGATTTGAAGATCTCCAAGCGTGTCAAGTTCAGAGGAAAACCTTGAGCTGTGGGAGAAAATTCATGACTGAACTGCTGCCGCTCAATCTCAGTTTTTTTTTTAAAAAATGTTCATGGGATGCGGTCTAAGCCAGCATTTATTGCTCATCATGCATTGGTCTGGACGAGCTGGTTAGCTGCAGACCTTGGAATGTACAGACATTCCCTGTTGCTGGGTCAAAATCCTGACACTCCTCCAAAAGCACCGTGAAAGAACATCCATGTGGTCCCAAATCAGGATAGCGTGCGTCTTGGAAAAAGCACTTGTAGTTATGGCATTCCCATCCATTGTCTGCCTGTTCTGTTAAATGGTATGGGTTACAGGTTTGGACAGTGATAGCAGAGGAGTCGGAGTGGGTTTACATGACTAATGATACAGACTTTCCTATGTGGTAATCATTTTAATTAACAAGTGATTTCTGACAACAGATGAGTTTACTGCAGTACAACATGTAGATGGTACATACAGCTGACACTGAGTCAGTGCTGAAGGGAGGGAGTAATGAAAGTGGTGTATGGGGCTGCTTTATCCTGAAACTGAGAGTGTTGCTGGAGCTGTACTCATCAGTCAAGTGGGAAGTATTCCATCACCCTGCTGCCTTGGGATAGGCTTTGAGGACACTAACCTACTTTCGTAGCTACAGTATTTATAGGATTAGTGCGAATCATACAGTAGGTGTGAAAGGAGCGATGAAATGCTCGAGGGCTGTGTTCCGTTCCAGAGTTGGGAAGGTCAGTGAGGAGGATCATCGTGATCCTAAAGCTTTGAGCTACATGTATCATTTATCAGCAACAAAGGATCTTGATCAAATGGGTCAATGGGCTGAAAAATTGCAGATGGAGTTCAACCTGGATAAATGCAAAGTATTGGTACAACAAACAGGGGTAGAACTTATACAATTAATGCTAGGGCCTTGGGTAGTGTTGTAGATTAGAAGGATCTAGGGGTGTAGGTCCACAATTCTTGTCCATTTGCATTGCAAATGGACAAGATGGTCAAAAAGGCACTTAGCACACTTACCTTCATTGCTCAGTCCTTTGAGTATAGGAGGTGGGAAGTTATGTTGAGTTTGTACAGGACATTGGTAAGGCCTGTTCTGGAGTACTGTCCAGTTCTGGTCACTGTTATAGGAAGGATATTATTAAGCTAGAGAGGTTCAGAAGAGATTTACCAAGGTGTTGAGTTATAAAGAAAAGGCTGGATAGGCTAAGGCATTTTTCTCCCCACTGGGACGTAGGAGGTTGAGAGGTGACCTAATAGAAGTTTATAAAATAACGAGGGGTACAGGTAGTCAATGGTAGTTCTCTTTTCCCTAGGATGGGGGATTTCAAGACTACAGGGCACATTTTTTATGTTGAGAGGGGAAAGATTTAAAAAAAAAAAATGATATGGGGGCAATTTTTTTTTTTTTAAAAAAAGAAAAACAGGGTGGTTCGCATGTGGAATGAACTTAAGGAAATGGTGGATGTGGGAGCAATGCAGCATTAAGACATTTGGATAAGTACATGAATAAGAAATGGTTTGGTGGGATATTGGTCAGGAGCAGGCAGGTGTGACTAGTTGAGTTTGGCATGGACTGTCAGTTTGTGCTGTTGACTCGGACTCAACAGTTTAAAAAAAGGAATTTAAATGGAGTCATAGGTACTGCCACATGAAGACAAATAGAAAATAAGAGATAGAGAACTTATGGCAAGTTAGCAGGTATATTTTATTATTTTGTAGTTTCTTACCAACAGGATAAATGTACCAAACACATGGGTATAACACTTTCATACAAACTGTTCTCTTGAAATGAACAGTGTGACAACTTCAGACACTGTTGCCCACATCCCCAAGGGCACCCCCACGTGTCATCACCATCACACGGTCAGGCTCATTTCCATGAGCACAGCAGTCCAACAATTAATTGCCTTCCTCCAAACTGTGTCAGTGCAGGTCAAGAGGTCAGGGACAGAGGACTGACCATCAAGTGAAGGGGAAGAACAGAGGGAAGGGAGAAAGAGAGAGGGCAGAGTGTTGACTGATTATTTCTGGGGACCAAACAGCCGAGGTCCTGAGGCAAATCCTGTAGCTACACAGAGCTGCAGCACAAGGCCAGGGTGGAGACACTATCTGGTGGCTCATCCCCTCCAAGTACTGCAACACCGCACAATGGCCCAAGACTGGGGAGCAGACAGCCAACTTTAAAAACCAAAACCTCAGTGTTCTGCCAACTTGGAGTCTCTTGTCAGAGGAGGAGCCAAAAGTCAGTGTATAGGTGATGCACCTATTCTCTACCCACAAGGGATTGAGATAGGCCAGCCTAGGGCCGGAGCACCAAGAGGTGGGGGGGGTTGGTGCAGAGACAGACACTACATCAAGTACTGACTCTGTTAAACACCCTCCAAACAAAACAAAAACCATACAAAAATATTTCAACAGCTTTTAGTTACTAGGGAGCCTTAAAAAAAAAAAGAGAAGGAATTACAAACAATTATGGCAAATTCAGGCAGTTTTCAAATTCATTTGGTATGCAGCTTTTGACCAAAGACTCCCTCACCTGGGGAGAGGAGTAAGGAGGGGAGGAAAAAAATGTCTTTGGTTTTAAAGTTAAATGTTTGTGAATTTGACAGTTTGGATCCTCTGAGATGTGCATGAAGACTGTTAGTTGATCAGCCACTCAGGGGACAGTGGCATGGAAAGGGCTGCCAGGCACACTCTCATCTCCCCACTTTACAATCAGTATGTAGTCACCCTTCTCCTTGACCGTGTACGTGACATTGTAAACCCGGTTCCCCACATGTTTCACATACACCTCTTCACACGGAGTCTTCGGACCGTGAACTCCCACCATCAACATGTTGGTTCCTGCAACCAAACCACAAAAAAAACTGGGGTTATTTCCAGTTCACTACACAGGGTCAAAAGGGTGATCAATTTGCCATACACAAAATGGCCTCACTTCCCCTAGCCCCCTCTGTGGGGGAAGGGGGTCGGAGTGATTATGTTGGAAGATTCCCCTTCACTGTTGCCCGACCCCTACCTGCTTTGCTGCAGTCTACAGTGAAGTTATTCTTCTGCCCAATGAAAGCCTTGGACAGGCCGGGTCCTCGAGCTACCACCTTGCTGGCATCCGATGCAAATTTGGGCATTGCTCCATATCTGCCAACTGTGGCCGACTTGGTGACTGTTTCAACCAGAACAGTAGATGTCTCGTGTAAACTGTGACCCCCAGAGAGGCGGACACCTGGAACAGGAGATATAGGCAACCTGGCAGTTAGTCTGGTCTTCAACTCCTCTGCCTCAGCTCTGGCTTTTGCATCTAGTTTTCAGTACATCCTGGAACCCCAGCCCCTAGGTCCTTTGCCTAGCACCGTGCAAAAGCACAAGCCCCAGGCTAAGGCTCCCAGATTTCCTTCAGGCAGGTGGCGGAGCAAGGTTACAGTCCCAGCCGTCAATGATAATCGACAGTACCCATACCTGAACAGGGAAACATGCGCGCACACACTTCACAGCCATTCCTCACCTGTGACCTTGGCTTTGAATGGACTCCCAACGATATGCTGAGGACCACCGTATTTGATGGAGATCAGGTAGTTTCCAGGAGCCATCGGGGTATAGGTGACCTTATAACCCTCAGGACAGTCCTGACAGTCCATCTTCACTTTGGATGGGCCATCAATGGTGACTGACAGTGCACCAGCCCCAGCATCGCACGTATTGACAATAAACTCAGAGGGGACCCCTAAACAGAAAGGCAGAGCACAAAAGGTGTTACCATGGAAATTCACAGCTGGTCTCCTGTGATAACTGGAGCCCAAAAACACTCAAACCATGCAGCCTGCTCTTAAAATACCCAAACCCTTATGCCCTCCAAACAAACATTAATCCCCCTCCGTTAGATCCCAGCTGAAAGACACATTATTCCACACACAAAACCACATCAGCCCCGTTTCTCTCCTAAACCTCTCAAATTAGATTACAGCTTGCAAGTCCCCTCCCGGGTAGCCAGTTTAAGTGTGGCTAGTCACACCCCAATTTCAGCTTGTCACTCATTCCAGAGTGTCTGGGTTATAAATCTTACGTGAGGTATCCTCTGAAGAGTGTGCTGGGACAGTTTGCCCTGAGGAATTGTACCTGTGACTCCTCCTTCCAGGCCTGGGCCATAGGCAGAGACCAGACCGGGATCTCCAGTTTGGCCTGGCTCTCCTACTCGGATCCTGAAGGGGCTGCCTGGGATGTGGCTGGAGTTGAACTTGACATCTATGGAGTGGACACCGTTTTCCCGTGGAATGAAGTGGATTGCAAAGTTATCTGTGAACGGACAGAGGTATTTTTAGATGATAACAAAATAGAGTGGGTGCAGGAAATCTGAAGTGATACAAAAAAAAATCAACAAAAATGCTCAGGCCTAACTGCATCTTTTAAAAAACAGAGAGAAAACAGGAGTTAATTGAAGTGTCTCAGGTCATCAGATCTTCTTCCCTCACCTCTAGCTTTGTAAGGAGCATTCCCAGCATTTGTTGCAAAAGCACCAAGCATTGTTCTGTCCATTTCCTAGACATGTGCCATGTGCAGCTCAACTGTCCCTCTGTACAGCCACATGGACGAGAAGCAGCATGTAATGTTCTAGACTCAGTAAAACAACAGCCCTCGTGCTGCAGTTCTTTGTCCTTGAACTGATCATGAATGGGCCTTTGCACTGAGGGACTGAGTCTCTGTGGTTAACCCCACCATCCACCCAAGTGGACACATGGCTCCTCATTAATGTATATCACAGCACCCAAACTATCGTCAGAGGAAGGGGAAGGAGATAAAAACACACTGCTGCTCTCCAGGCAGGGCTTCTTTATCTACCACTACAACAACCACTGCTCAGGGCTAAAGGGAGCATGTCTGATAGCTCCTCTGAGCCAGAGCAACAAGTAAGTGATTCCAAGTAAGTAATAACATAGCCCAGATAGAAAAAACAAACAAACTGAAATAAAACATGCCCCGAAACATCAGCAAATGCAGAAACTCTAAAACCCCTTCACGTGCAGACTATAAACAGGGCTCTGTAAAGGAGATAGCAGGAAGGTGTCCTTATTCCCTCTGTTGCTCGATCTCACCCAGTGTAATGCCCTCTCAAAAAAACTCACTCCTGCTCTCCGTGGTGTTCCAATTGAAGTCTTAAGTCACCTTACTCTATAAATGCAACATTTGAGTATTTCCATCCTAACCTCTTCAATGGCTGAGCCAGTCATTAAATTTTAAACAGGATACACCCATCCCCAGTAGGGGGCACTGTGGGTGCAGGCAGCAGAGATACCTGCACAGGTTAGAAGCAGACAGATGGGCAGGCTGATGGACACACACACAGAGAGAGAGAGAGAGAGACGGACACACACACACAGAGAGAGAGGGAGAGACAGAGACAGAGAAAAAAAGGATTAACAATACAAGGTCATATAGAAATTGGAACAACCAGAGCAAAGACTAAAAAACGCAAGCTCTGGAAGAGGTGGGTGGAGACAAAGAGGTTAAGTGACCTTGTTCTGTCCTTCTAGAAGTTGGAGTGTTATTGGAAGCTTCTGCTCCCTGGGTCTCATGTTACAGCTTAAGCCCGAGGCAGCTGCTGTGTGAGAGCAGACAGAAAGCACATGGTATGGGAATGAGCAGTTATTCTGGGTCAGGTCACTGACAACCCACAGCTAAGTGCTCTACATCTGTCTAGACGGTTCCCACCTCCCCATATTCCCCAAACAGCATGGGGGTCTGCTTTGCTCCCAGACTACCTCCCACCAGCACCATTCCTATGGGAGACAGCAGTTCAAACAGCTTCCCTCTAATCACTTTTCCTTTTGTTCCCTCGGAGACAGAATTCCATGCTCTGAATTTACACGCCAGTGCCTTATTAGAACCTCACCCTGAATCAGAAAACAAAATATGTTGTCTGCTCATTATAACAGATTAATTACACATGGCTAGAGGGAGGGGGGCCCCCACACCACATGAGGTGGTGGGGAAATGAAACAAGTAGCAAACGAAAGATAGGTGGTAGCGTTAGCAGAACAACCCCCAGTCACCTACCAGCATCCACCTCAGACACGTAACATTCCTCGACAGAGCCTGATGGAGTCCGCACTTTTGCGTCAATGACCCCTCTTGCACCGTTCAGCTGAACTGCGAACGAGGCCTGTTGATTAACTTTTAATCCAGATTCCTAAATACAGATAGGCACAGATTAAAACAAACAATCCAAGAAAGCTCCTTCTACATTCTCAGACCCAGGATTCCTTATTTGGGATTTACTCTGAATATTACAACTTCTCCCCACCCACCCACACAGATCAGATAAAAAAAAAAGGTTCTTGGGTTGTGTCTCTGAAATAATATGGACTGCTTTGTGAACTGGGCAATATCTGTTGGTGTTGAATTACTGCAGAACCATTGGCCAAAGTGGAGACTGACGAGATGGACCCAAGAAAACAGGGACACCATCACATTCCTTCACACTTCTGGAGTTTCCAACTGTGCTACTACTGCTTAACCCCCAAACCGCTGCGCAAAAGCCCTCCCTGGGCCTCACCTGGAGACTTGTGACGGTGAGTCTACGTGCAGCATCAGAGGGAGAGGCAATTGGAACAACAAACGGCGAGTCAGGAATATGCTCATCATTGAACTTGATGGATACTTCATAGTCACCTAGAAAAAGGAAGAGGAACTCAGCTTAGATCAGCAGGCTACAGGATTATGGAAGAGACACAGAGCAGGGTCCTGTGAGCAGGAAGCACAGTGAGGTTCACCTGCTGCCCAGTGAACAAGTAGCAGCTGTGTGTAAAACCAGGCACAGCAGACAGCACCCTATAGTCAGGATACAACTTCATACCTATTTGACAGTGCAGTCCAACGTGGACTGGATACAAAGGAAAGCTCTCTCTACGGTATGAAGCAATTTATAAAAGAATGCTGGGAAATCACAAAATTAGCTTATTTGCTAATTAAGGAAAACTTAAGTACAATGAGTGACTCTGCACTTTAATGGTTTATATGGAATCCTTTACTGATCTTTTTTAACCTAAAGCGTATTAGAATTGTTAATTAGTGGACAGATGACTCAAATGGGAAATTATGGTTTGGCCTTCATTGACCAAGTGCTTTTGGCCTCAAAAAGAAGTTTGGAAAGGGACAAAACTCTAAAATGCTAAAACCTTCAGCAAAATTCTGGCGGAATGCACAAAGAGGCAACCTGCTGTGTGAGAACACACAAACACCTTAGCAGAATTCCAGAAACCCCAAAAAGGGCAGTGCATCAAACAAACAGATAAAATAGCAGAGAGTACCAAGTCCTACAGAGAAAGATGCTTGGGGTTACCTGAACCCCAGGATAAGTCAGGGTCTGATTTACTAACCGGGTTCTTGTACAATGTATGAAACTCCACACGATCCATCCTTGCGATCCTCAAACGAGATCTCAGCTTTGCTTGGGCCTTCCACAGCAATGGAAAGGCCTCCAGCTCCTGCCTCACGGGTCCAGATACTGAACTCCGCTGAAAGGAAAAAAAAGAGAGAGAGAGTTAACTGCAGGAAGGATAGACATATCCAGACTGATTACCACCCTATTAGGCTGACCGTCCCAGGGTCTAGTCCGACACCCAACCCGACCTCCCCAAAACCTGGCCCCTCGTTGCCGAGATTGAGCTCTGATGAAATGTACAAGTAACCAGCGGTAACTCACCTGCCACAGCAGCAACTCCCCGCTCCAAACCAGGACCGCCAGCACGAACCTTATGGGAGCCTCCCTCGCCCAGAGGCCCCACTGTGAACTGGAAGGGGCTACCAGGCACATGTTGGCCACGGTATTTGACATTGACGGTGTGGGAGCCCATCTCCTGTGGTACAAACCGCACACTGTACGTGCTGTCATCGCCTTCGATGATCTCCGCTTCATCAATCTTCCCAGACGGGCTGGTCACTTGTGCAGTCATCTCCTTAGCCCCAACCTCCACTGTCGTCAAAACAAAAACAGGACACCATTACAAACTAACCAGGCTCCCAAACAAAAACAAAAAAACTTCCCATTTTAAGTACTTTGTCACTCTCCACCTCAATCACTCACTCCTTAAATCAGAGAGTGTGTAGGCAGTGGACAGCTACTCAAATTGGCAGAATGCGATGAGTGACTTCCCACAGGGATCTGCCCTACTCACCTGTACCCAGGATGTTAGCAAAGAGGCAATGGTGTCTAACTTAACTGCTAACAAGGATCAGCATCACTGGAAGCAATACAGTTGGAAGCATAAAAATTATAAACAAAATGACTAAATTAATAAAGTAGTAAACAACCTTTGCCAAACAGATTTCAGTACAAGTGTATGCAAGCTTTGGACCTAACAATGAACAGAACAGAGTTTTTTTTTAAAGATAGTGAAAGATTAGAAACGATGTAAGCTTGAACAGCCTTGGGAGATCTTGCATAACTGCTCATGAAATTTTTTAATAATTAGCTATAGACAATTATTAAAGAGTCTTGCCTTGATGTTTGTTTATTCACTCATGGGATGTGGGTGTCGCTGGCTAGACCAGCATTTATTGCCCATCCCTAATTGCCCAGAGGGCAGTTTAAGAGTCAACCACATTCTATGGGTCTGGAGTCTCATGTAGACTAGACCAGGTAAGGATGGCAGATTTCTTTCCCTAAAAAGAGGGACATTAGTGAACCGGTTCGGTTTTTCCAAGAATTGCCAATGCTTTCATGGTCATCATTAGAATGTTAATTCCAGACTCCTTATAGAATTTAAAATTCCACCATCTGCCACGGCAGGATTTGAAGCTGTGTCCTCCAGAACATTAGCTGAAACAACAGTGTAGCAGTAGTGCCACTAGGCTACTATCTCCCCATTTAAAAAAGTGTGACGAAGGAGATGATGTGAGTTTTTTCCATGGTACAAAACTGACAGCTAGACACAACAATCACACTGACTGGAAGAGCAGGCTCATGGGCCTGAAAAGCCTAGAGCAAGCCGGTTTCCCTTTCAGGACCAGGCCATCAGTGGGTCTGATACACACCTTCGGCCCGGGGGATGTTGGTGAAAGAACCCAGGCTGTCCCGGCCCAGGAACTCGCCAAAGACATTATGGAAAGGATCCCCTCCGACCTGCGTGGACTCCTCCACTCGCACCTCTCGTTTAGTCTCTCCGCCCCGAGTCTTACTGATCTCTGTGCGCTCCGTGCGGGTGTAGGTGTGGCTACTGCGGGTAAAGGTCCGTGTCAAACGTTCCTGAGCAGATACCATCTGAAACCAGTTTCCTGAGGAAAAGTGGGGGTGGAGAAAGAAGAAAAAAAAAAAAATTTCATTAAAACAAAAAGGACCATCCCATCCCAGGCCTATATTGGTATCCAGTATAAACCTTACATCTCAGCCTGGCTCCCCAAGGACTTCCTGAAGTGACTGATCTCAAGCTTAATTCATCACTAATCAGCAGTTATTAACACCAGACATTGATCAGTGACATGACCATTGGCCTTTCCACAGGTGGATTGCAGATCACTCACTATAGGCAGGATGTTACAACCACCTCATTGTAGTTGAGGAGTCAGTGAGAAGCTGGAAGAATTTTACACAACGTGAAGAAAGTTGATAAACATGAGGAAGGACAGACTAGAGGGACATGCCAATAGGATGAGATAGAGAAGAAAGCTTGCTGCAGAGCACGGATGCCAGTGTCAAGCTGTTGAATTAGTGCCATGGCACTTGATACAGAGGATACATCCCAAGCATCCACAAGGGGGATAATTCCTACAAAATACCAACAACTGGGATAACTATATTCTGAATTCTCGTCTCCCCCACTGCAGCATCAAGGATTTCCCTGCACCCCCCCACCCCATCCCAGCTCCATTTCCTTGTCAGAGCAGAGCACGAGAGGAAAGAAAGAGGGGCGAGGGCAAGACAGGTCTGTCACCAATGCAGTAGTAGGTTGGCTGTACAGAGGCAAACAAAATTTAATCCTGAAAGCAAGAAAGGAAAAAAAGAAGTGCGAGGTGATGATATTGGAGGAGTACAGTTACTTCCTAGGAAGTAGTGCATGTTTGTAGATCCTGGAACACAGCAGAGGAGGCAGATTAAAAAAAAAAAAGTGGTTAAGGCTACATATGATAGTATAACTTAGGGTATGCAGGGCAGTTTGATCTTAATAGGATAACGTGTCGGCCGAAGGCCTTTACTGTGCTGTACTATTCCACGTTCTATGTTCTATGTGGGATTCCTTCCCTTTTTTGGAAAGGCACCAAATACAAAGAGCAAGGAGAAGGTTATGAAGCAGTTGTATTAAGATGTTAGTTAGAAAGCAGCTGGAGTGCTGTGTGCAGTTCCGGTCACCACACTATAGGATGGATGCGATGGCATTAGAGAGAGTGCAGAAGAGATTCACCAGGATGTTACCTGGGCTGGAAAGGATTCACATAGGAAGGTAGGAAAACAACCCCAGGCTTACAGCAGAGAAGGCTAAGGAGAAAATGCAATTTCAGGTGTACAAGGTTCTAAAGGGGTAAATGCAATGTAGATAAGGGCAACATATTTCTCCCTAGGAGCTGTGAATAACCAGGAAGCGCAGGGCTGAGGACATTTGGAACGCTCCCTCCCTGAAAGGGCAATGGAGGTGGGAGCCTGCAAAATATTTGCAATTTAGATGAGCACTGGAGATTCCACAGCATGTGAGGCTCCAGGCCAAGTGCTGGGAAATGGGAAGAGATGGGTGTTTGATGACTGCGACCTTTCCATGCTGTAAAAAACCAAGAACTTGGAGACTAAACATGAGCAGGTGAGAACTCTCCTCCCACTGCTAGCCGCAGAAGGTGAGAAACCCAATGCAGCCAAGCCCAAACACACGTGTTGAGAAATTGCCTCCTGAAAATCTGCCTCCAGTCAGTCTGAACTGAATCTCGAGGAGGATACAGTACAATCTACAACAGCCATGTAGATCTGAAAAGAACAGTATCCAGTTACACCAAGCAATGTGGGACAAATACAGGATAGGATGAAAAGGAAGCAGAAGAGGAATAATCTTAAAAAAAAAGTGTACTCCATTGCAGAATAACCCCTTGCTGGAGGGCTACACATACCTGGTATCTTCAAGTTGAGGTCACAGGTGCTGCCGACTGTGGCAATAGAGGGAGCCTGGCGTCGCCTTGTGATACTCTCCTTAATCCTTCCTTCACCAGTCACCTTCACCGTAAAGGGACTTCCTACAACACAATCACAGTACTCACACAGTCACACACAGGAGCTCCACCTACAAAACGACACATTGCTAAAACAGAAACTGAATTTTCCCCAATGACTGTGCCTTACCATCTCTGAACCCAATGCCCTTTACTGTGATCTTTGATCCTCTACAGTGACCTGCAGCCTGTCCCTTGGAATGTCCCTCCCAGAGTGTTTGGTTACGGAGGGTAAGAAGCTCAATTCCACACTCCCTTACCTGGCACATGGTGGTCAGCAAACTTAATGTTGATGATGTAGTTGCCTGGTTCAGTTGGACAGTAGGTCACTTTGCACGTTCCATCCTCTAGATCCTCACAATTAATGTCAACTTTGCTGGGACCCTCAATGGACAGACCAAGTCCTCCATAGCCTGGGAAACAAAGGAAAAGAAAACAGGAGTGCTCCTTCTGTTGGTGTTTGGAATGGTCTTCCTTAGTAAGTAACGTAGGCTGGCTGATTGTCAATTAAAAAATATAACCGTCTTGAATAAATTCAAAGAAATTCAAGGGTTAGGAGGGTAGGCACGAAAGTGGGAGTTAAGGCCACAACCTGATCAAGTGATATCAGAACACGGTTCAAGAGCTGAGGGCCTTGCTGCTACTTTTACTCTTTTACACCAAGGTAGTTCATCAGCTGCTGCTATGCAGCCCCCATCGCCAACCAATAAATTCAACCCCTCACTACATCTCAATAGAAATGGGCAAAGGATTCTCAAGCTTTTATTTTTAAAAAGAACTTGAACACAATCTGTTCAAATCTGCACAGAATGATCCCATTGCCCAATCAGAAACAAGGTCAAGGATTGTTCACAAAAATAAAAAACCTGGAACCCTAATAACCACATTTCAGAGAAAACCTCGCCACTGAAGGAGCAATGAAGTGCAGCCCTGCTTGGGAGGAGTCCAGAGCACTGACCCTCGTCCCTGCCAAATCTACATCTACACACCTTTTCTTCCAAGTTTACTGCCAGCCTCAATAAAGGCTTGAAGAAAAACAAAATAACCTGGATTACAAGAGAAGTACAATCACATAATGGGTCAATCAGATTGTTAAACATCAGTCTCAGTTTGTCATTGTCCAATGCAATAAGTTGCCACTTTTTCGTAAAAGGGGTCATACCTGCACCGCGTGTGTCCACGATGAATTCGGAAACCTCAAATGTTTGACCCTCCACCAGGCCCTTCCCAGAAACCTTCACTTTGCTGGCATCGCCAATCTCAGAGGCCCCGACCATGATCTTGAAGGGGCTGTTTGTAACATGCCGGCTGTTTTTCTTCACACTCACCACATGTTCTCCTACCTCCTTCGGGGTGAATGAAATGCCTGTTGAAGAGGAAAAAGGTCAGGGGCCAACTCATTTTGCAGTGGCCAAACGCTTTCATTACTTGATGTACCGTATCAAACAAGACCCTCCCATACTCCGATCGCACTTTCTGGAAGCCATGTTATGGAAGGGACATGACTGCACTGGAGAGGGCGCGCACAGAAGACACTTACCAGATGTTGCCTGGGCTGGAGAAGTTTAGTAATGAAGACAGATCGGATAAACTCGGGTTATTTTCGTTGGAGCAGGCACCAGAGGAGGAATGCAATTGAGATGTACGGAATTAGGAGAAGCATAGACAGGGTAGGTGGGGAGAAACCTTTTCCCTTGGCAGAGGAATCAAATGACCAAGGCTCATGGATTTAAATGAGAGCGGCAGGAGAGGTGAAGAAAATCTTTTCCACCCAGAAGGTATTGGGAACCTGGAGCTCACTGCCTTTAAAAAAGGGTGGTAGAGGCAGAAACCCAGAGAAGATTTAAATGGTGTTTAGATATGCACTTGTAATACCAAAGCATTCAAGGAAAGTGGGATTAGAATAACTAGCTGCTTGATTATGAACAGCACAGACCTCAATGGCTTGGAAACCCTTTTTTCCTTGAGCCAGCGACCTCTGACTATGACTCAGGCAAACAGTGTCCCCCTGGCTGTCAGTTTCTAACCACTGTGCCTACCGCACCTGGTCTGGATCTTACCAATATGCCTGTTGGGCAGCCTCTTGAGCAAGCAGGGCTCCTCATTACCCGACGGAGCTTTGATGCTGGCGTTCAGTAGGTTAAGGTCAGTCTCGGTGATCTTCAGCGAGACTTCTGTGGACGTGCCGACATTGAGTTGCGACGTTCTCATTGAGTCATCACCTACACAGGAAGTGATTGCATCAGTCAGCTACAATTCACAAAAAAAAAAACACCTGCAGTTCCTGGCACAAGAAGTCAGATCCAACCTTTGCAATTAATCCCACCACTGTAGCTCAATGCCTGACTGGCCATCGGTCTGGCTGAAGGACAAGAGGTGACTGGTTACGCACCCAAGGAGATATTATTTACCCCCTTCCACAAAGTTTCCCAAGCGCAATGACACCAGCATTCCAACTTCACCACCCTCACTCCCCATTGCACAAAGTCACCTGAAACCTTTCAACTGGTCAGAAACACCACCTCCTGACAGGCAGGCAACACCGACACGGAGGAGAGGCTTCTCCCTTTTCCACCCCTCCCTCACACACTGACCATTTTCACACCCACCCCCGCCCCCCACCGCCGACCCACACCCTGTCATCTTGTGGACCTGCCAATAAGCGGCGAAGATCTGAATAAACTTAAACAAGGCAATGATAGGAGCAGCAATGGCTACAGACCTAGATTAGGAGTATCCCTCATGGCTGGAACTCGATCTGCTGGGAGTCAGACAGTCCAAGACCACAGAGTCCACAACCAGTGGCTGACAGCACCCACCAGAGCCAAGCTTTAAAGAAGGTGGAAAGAGGCAATAAAACCAAAGTGGGAATTACCGGTGATCTTGGCAGTGAAGGGGCTCCCTGCAATGTGCTTGTCATCAAAACGAACAATGATGTTGTAATCTCCAGGGGCAGTGGGCAGGTATGATACAGTGCAAGTGCCATCCTTATTGTCCTTGCATGTGATCTCAGCTTTAGAGGGACCTTCCACAGCAAGGGAGAGTCCACCTACAGGAAAGAAAGAGAGAGAGAGAGAAAGAGAAAGAGAAAGAGAAAGAGGAGAGAGAAGGAGAGAAAAAAAAAAAGAGAAAGGAGAAAAAGAGAAGAGAACTTATGATAGTGAACTGCTAAAAGAATCCTAATATCCCAAATCTCCCTATTCAAATGCTTTCTTCAAATACATCTTCATCCCTAGTTGCTCACTGTCCCCATTCCTCAAACCCTTCCCTTCAGATCTGCTCCTCCAACCCCATCAAGTGTCAGCCCTCACTCAAATCCCTTCCATACGCAAAGCTCAGCACCAAATCTGATCCCTCTCACTATCCCAGTCTCATTGTCCCCCTCCCCTACCTCCAATAATCCCCAACCCCCACCTTGCAGCTCTGTCACCCCATGCCGGGCTTGGCCCATGTCCCACTTACCTTCACCAGCATCCTTGGTGACTATGGTAAACGTTGCAGGTTTATTCACCATTCCATGGCTCAGACCAGGACCAAAAGCAGTCACATGACGACTGTTGATGGCATCCACATAAAACTGCAATGGGCTACCTATAAGCAGAGGAATAGCTAAGTATTAGGGTCAATGCAGCATCAAGTCTCCCCCAAGGGCATCAGGATCAATACAAGGTCAGCCCTTCCCTCCAGGGATAACAGCTCACAGTCAGCATGAAGGAGCAGTTCCATTATTCACTCAGACAACACAGCCAGAGTCCCCAGAACCTGCAATCTGTACACAACCTCTCAATCCTGGCACACGCATGAGGAGACGGTGAATGTGATGGAGCTCAGTGTCACAGCCATCCTTGGAAAGCAAAAGATTCAGGCTTATGGAGGCAAGAACCAATCGCGCGCGCACATACATGCACCCCGGGCAGGACGTCAGTTCACACACACACCTGGGATGTGGTTGCCATCGTATTTGATGTCCATCTCGTGGAGCCCCTTCTCGATGGGAGCGTATTTCACAGTAATGGTTCCATCCTTGTTGTCAGTAATATTTGGGCGGCCAGTTTTACCAGATGGCATTCGGACTTCACCTGGAATAAAAGGAAGGTTCCAGAATGAATCCCAAGAAACAGGACACATGCAGTTTTCAACGCACAAGTTTATCTTTTATTTTCTTAGAAAATAAAGATAAAGAAAATTAAATTAGCCTTAACCTCGGAGTTAACGTCTAGTGCAGACAAAAGTGGAGAAGATCTCCTCACTCAATAGGACAATGAGGTAGAACAGTGACCCAGCCCTTTGGGAAACAGTGATCATAACTGCAAGTGAGTGCCTGCAGAGACTCCTTACAGCCAGAAGATCCTGGGTTCAAATCTCAGTCCAGATACTTGAGCCTAGAGGCAAAGGAGTCATTCCAGTCCAGTCTTGAGGGAGTGCTGTGTTGTCTCAAGCACAGTCCCACACTGTCTGCTAGAAGCAGCACACTGAGGTGCAATTTTCAGATGAGTTAAACTGAGAGGCTCTCTTTCCTCTCAGGGGGGTGTAGAAGATCAAGGCACTAGTAGATAGCAGGAACATGAGCGTTCTGCCACTCATGATGAATACTGTTAAATATTTAACTAAATCCAAGTCAGGGTGATGAATGAAGGTTTTCCTTCATGTGGGGTTGGGGGTGGGGGAGGTTTGGCTGGGAGTTCAATTATTGTCCTCAGCTACTTATCCTTTTGAATAGTCCTCTGTGTTCTGAAAGAATTCAGCACTTTCATTTCTGAAGCAGCACTGGCACTGCCACACCACATTGTAATGTGCATCTCAGCACTGTTACTCCAAACAATATATTAGTGTCTCAGTACCAACACAATGAGCCAAGAACATTGCAATGGAAGTCTCAACACCAACACCAACACCACACACTATCCAAACCACACCGTTTGCATCGGAGGGAAAGACTGCAATCCCACCTGTGATTTCTCCTTTCTGCACAGTGAACGGGATGACGAGGTTGAATGGCCGGAGACCATGATCCAGGACATCAACTGGGACAGCTGACTCCTCAGTGGCCTGTTGGAACCAACATAAGTGAACAAAATTCAACATTCAGGACTCACTGAGCACAAAAAGGAAGCTTTACAACAGGCTACTGAAAGAAGTGGCAAAGTTGATTAATTTTGTAGTCCAAGTTTAATGCTGGTTCAGAAGAGGTGAAGATCTGTAAAAGGAAAGATGGTCTGTGATGAATGGGGGAAGAATGATGAGATGGACTGAGCTACAAAATGTAAGTGACTTAGACAACACCAAAACCAGGGACACAAGAACAAACTGCAGGGAGATTGGGTCACATTGGTGTCATTGGAAAGCCAGTCAGCCAAGCAGAGCAGAGAAAATGGACACCAGCAGCCTAATCTTAGTGACAAGCTCTGACTGGATGTCACTTAAGATCCCCAGAAAACCACTCCTCACCTAGGACCCAGGGAATCAGAGAGGTTAGGAACTGTGGTGTGGGTTTAAGATTAAACTTGATGGTCCTCCGCTAGCAAATGGCCACATGCAATTCGAAATCATCCTATACTTAACCCCACCCGTACTCAGGGGTCAGCCACAGCCCAGACAGCAATGTAGCATGTGTGCCCATTGGTGAGACTGTAAACTCCTACCCAGTGATCAGAATCCACCAGCTGATACTTGACCCAAATGAGAAACAGCAAAGTCAGCTTCCTAGGCAAACCTCTACATCATTTCTCACTCTTCCTCCCAAATCCCAAAAGATATTTGAAACCTAATGAAGATTGGAGAAGGACAGTTCTGTGATCCTTGAGCCCCAAGCCCACTGCCTCTGACAGAATTTGACCCCAGATACCAGAGGTCAAAAAACGTGAATGTTAGGCCATATTTCATATTGGCTTATTACCCCAAGCAATGGGGTATTAGGCCATTATTTAAAAAAAAAGTGAATGAGGGAGTTTATCCAGACAGCTTTCAGGATGATGATTGGGTTAATCAAATGTAGGAATTTACGAGGAGCTTTACTTCAACTGATAAGCTTTGTATTGAGATAAGAATCAGCAACAGAAGATGACCCAATAACAGCAGCATTGCAGTTTGGATTATACCTCGACAACTAGGGGCTGCAAGATTAAGACAGGGAGGGGGAGCAAGCTGGGTAAAGAAAAGGGAGAACACAAGATGAGGAAGCAGAAACACAGACACACGTACACACAGACAGAGGGGTCCTGTTTGAAGTAAATAGTTGGTGTTGAATCTTATACCCAGAGTGTTGGATAGCCAGCATGGGAAGGCACGTAGGGCTGGTGTAGCTGCAACGTTTCACAGGGCTCCTCAATGGTGGGGATGGCATCACAGGCCTGTGATGGGAGGCAAGCTACAGGTTAAACACGAAATACATCCAATGCACAACGTGCAAAAATCTGCATCTGCAGTGTCCATGCAACAAAAAGGCAAGACATGGCAGGCACTGCTTTGAGCTACAGAAGTGGCAGTCCAGCAAGGAAATTACTCCCGATTTCAGTGTTCACCTCCTAGCATGTTCTGTACTGGTAGGGTCACAATTCTTGTATCTTATGTATGTCAAAATGCCCAGTCAACTCATACACATGGCCTATCAGCTGGATGTTCAGCTTCTCAGTTGTTCAAACAAATCAGACTAACCGCAAGAAATTTGGGAGTTCAAGAGTTTCAGATCACCAGAAGCTCATGGGCAGACAAGACAGTAATTATTAAAAAAGGGATAGAAAAACAGAAACACCATTAAGAGTTGTACAGATTTTTGGTTAAACATCAACTCAAATATACAGCTCAGTTTGGATACGACACCTCCCGAAGTTGAAAAGGTGACTTCGATAGGACTAAAAGGGTTAGAGGATGGGATCATAAAAGTTCTATACAAGGGAGTACAAATGAAAACGCAAGAGCTTTCTTAAAGATGTGTTTAGTATGGTTAATGGATTCAGTTGAGAGAAAGTTTCCCCAACCCCACACAGTGGGCTGAATGGCCACCTCCTGTGCTGTAACAATTCTGTGGTAAGGCATAACCTGAAAAAATTCAGAGCTCAGCCATTCCAGCGTTGATGTGAGCAAGTATTTCTTCACTCCAAGGGGATGTAGAGATCTGGAACTTCCTTCTTGAAAATGCTATTGAGGCTGGAGGTCAGTGGAAATTTTCACAAAAACATAGAAAGTATCAAGATGACGATAATAAAAAAAGGCAGCTAAGTAGATCAGCCACGATTTCATTGAATGCAGAATAGACTCAAGGGGCTCAATGACCAACGTCTGTTCTCCTGTCCTTCAAGTAACTAAACGTTCTATACTCCCATCTCTCCCAACCTATTAGAACACTCCTTTCTCCTCAAAACAGCCTGGCCTCTGACCGCAAGTCTCTCTGGTATCTTGCCACAGAACCCGATTCCTAAGTTAGATGCTGTGAAAAATCCCAGCTTGGATCTCTTCATACACACAGGTCCTGGGATTGGAATAGTTCAGCACAGGAGGCTTCCTGAATCAGATGTCATGAGGGAATTATGATGACCAACATAGAGAATTCGATCATTGACCAATGATGATACAGCACAAGCAAATGATCCATTCAGCCAAATGCTGGTGGTTAAGCTCATTTCAACATTAAAAAGGAGAAAAAAGACACTCCACAGTTCTCCACTCGGACTGGATTGTTTTCACTTTCCATACTTATCCTTTTGAAAGTTATGACTGAAATCTGCTTCCACCATCCTGGCAGGGAATGTTTCACAGAATATCACTTTGTGCGAAACCACTTCTCTTCACAGTTTTCAAAAGTGCTAGAGAAACAATCCACGATGTGTTTATGAATACTGACCCTCTTGCCATGAGAAACTGTCTCCCCCTATTCACATTAAACCAACTGACACCTTAGTGGAACTGTTCTGATCCTCTCCTCCCCACTTCATTAAGGTCATAACATCCTTCCCAAAGTGTGGTACCAGAGCTGGACACATTACAGCTGAAGCCCAATTAGTTTGGCCAAAGTTTAGCACAACTCCATCACTTTAGTGCTGTGTCTACATAGAGAGGAAAAGGAATCTGTACATCTTTTTCTTTAAGTAAAAGAAAACCTCTTAGGTGATTCATCTTGCTAACAGTAAGGATTTGGTATCCCTGCTATTGTACTTTTCCACGATAACAGTATGCTAAGGTTTTGCATTGTGAGCAAGCCGATTACATTTTCATTAATGCTAAAACTTGGAATACTGCAGATGCTGGAAATCAGAAATCAAAATAAATAAATAAATAATTTTGGATGTACAGGCTGTCCCTGGGCTACCAAAAGGTTCTATTCTGGAATCTGTTTGCAAGTCAATTTGTACAAAAAAGTCAGAACACAATGCAAACGATATAACATCTGCTTGTTAGTACAGGAAACATTTGTATGACAAAATCTTTAAAATTACACCCCTGAATAGGCTCATGTTTGTACATAATAGTGTTCCTCAGTTGAACGGTCCCAACTCAGGACCCCCTGTACAGCAGCATGCCAGTGACCTCTCCCCAGAACTGGGAAGGTAAAGCTGTTAAAAAAAATAAACTTTGAGAAAGGGCTGGAATCGACAGGAACAAAATGGAAGTGTTGCAGATTGCAAGGCGAGAGCTAGAGAGATTAAATGCCAGAAGAGGTTTAGTCTGCTGGGGAGGAAAAGGGAACACAGTGAGGGAGCAAGATGAAACAAAGAAACAATAAAAAAAGATAGGCCTGGAACAGGTGGGCTACTGCCTGAAAAAAAAAGGGAAACAAAAAAAGCAAGGAAGAAAAAAACGAAACACAAAACACCAAGATGACGATCTAAAATTGTTGAACTCAATCTGGAGTCTTTAAATTGCCCAAATGAAAATGATGAGGGGCAGCTTTTCCTAGTTTGAAACAAGCTCACAGACCTGAAACTTAGCCCCATTTCTCTCCATAGATGCTGCCTAACTTGCACATTTCTAACAATTCTCTTTTGTTTGAGGTTTGGAAATACACGCGTGCCCTGGCATCGTTAAGTTGACATCACTTACCACCACATGGAAGGGGCTATTTGGTATGAGTTCACCACCGAAGCGGATGGTGATGACGTATTTGCCAGGCTCTGGTGCGGTGTAATAGATGTCGAAAGTCCCATCTCGATTCTCCACCACGTCGACATCCAGCTCAGCTCCATCAGGGGTTGAGACCTTGCATGTGACCTTCCCTTTGCCGGCAGCCTTAGCGTCCACAGTGATGACAGTCTGCTGGCCAATCTGGATGGTGGGACCCAGTCCTGCCGCTGCAAAAGGATCAAACATCAGGAGGTTGAGGGGGAATATAGTTCAACGTCAGCACCGTACTCAATGGCGTGGGTTTCTTTTTGGGCGAGTCACAGTCTCTCACAGGGCAAGACCCACTGTGTTTCCGTCAGCCACGAGCTTATAATACACAAAAAAAAACAGCTTGAGGAGCAGAGTGGCACAAACAGAAATCTGCTCATTCCCAAGTAACTCGTGCAAATAAACCAGAGGGTGCTCCTCCTAGCATGTGGAAGGTCAAAAGGGCAGCGGGACATGGCCAGAGGTCAAAGGGCGACAAGTTGCACAATGCCTAGCTCCATTCCTTAGGTCAACCTCAGCTGGTTACAGAAGATCAAAAAATAAAATTAGCCAGCATTCCTGTTCCCAAAGCAAAATACTGTACGTGCTGGAGATCGGCAATATAAACAAAATATCTGAAATATACTCAGCAGGTCAAGCAGCATTTGTAGGGGTAGAGCCATGGAGCAAACATGTAGTTGAAGTGATGATCTTCTCAATTCAGTTCCACTGAACGGGCATCAACCCAAAATATTAATGGTATCTGTCTCTCTCCACAAACACTGCACAACCTGCTGAATATTTCAGCAGATCCTGTTTTTACTCCTGCCCTAGAGAGAGAGAGAACGCAGTCTAGTGGCCCCTGGGTTGAGGCAGTGCGGGGGAGCGAATGGTTTAGTGGATGGTCGAAGAAGATGGAAGGAGCAAGTTTGGTGGATGGTCACTCACCTAGTCCATGGCCGCCGATCGACACTGTGGAGGGAGAGCAGCCGGTTAGAAACAGTCACCCATAAACTCAAAATACAAAGAGACGTCAGCAAGAATTGCAAGATACGTAGAAGGAAGTTAAAGTCAGTCCCTGGTTTCCTATACAACTCAGCTATGAAAGAAAAACGGTCCTGGGAATGGCTCATATAGAGAAAGGACAGAACCATCAAATCCCCAACCTCTGTCTCCTCAGGTCCGACAGAGCGAGCAAGACGGAATGTGTGATTGACAAAGTAGCCAGCAATGTTTCCCCCAGGGTCCTGTACCCCTGAAATACACTCAATGGCAGCCCCTCTGAACACCAGCAACTCAGGGATCCAAGGCTGGCCAGAGCCAGAGCCAGAGTTAGAATCAGAGGTCACTATTTGGCTGGCAGTGGCTTTGATCGTTGTTGCAATCCCGCTGCACGCTCTGTTGCGAGAATGTTAACCGTTCGAGCAGCTGCACTCCCTGTTAGCAACAGCGCCTGCTGGTGGTGTGGGGATAGAGGGCATGTACTGTGATGTATCACTGTGCCTCCCCACCCACAAAGGACACAACTTCCAAGGAATCCAGGGATCCACCTGATACTCTTAAATTTTCCCCTCACCAGATTCCTGCAGCTGATTATCAGATCCAAGTCTGTCCCCCAGAGAAGAGCTCCTTTCTGTATTTCAGCTCCTCCCAGTTCAGTCAGTCATGCAGAGATGGGTGTGAGCACTGATCATACCTGTGACCAGACATTTGCTGGCATCTCCAGTTGGCACAGCGTGGATACGATATGGCGAGTAAGGTATTTCGTCACCTCCGTATTTGATGGTGATAGTGTAGTGTCCAGTCATATCAGGAAGGTAGGACACTGTGTATGTTCCGTCTCCATTATCACGGATATTAGCCTTTTTCGGTTTTCCCTCAGGATCCTGGAAGGATACAGCAATGTCACCAGAATGAGAATACAGGAGGAATGGTCCTCATTAGAAATGAGGCTACTGCACACACCACATGTCTCTACTCTCCCACCACTCACCAAGATTATAAAATAGGAGCCTAAGCCATAGACACCAGACTGTCCATATCCAATCAGATAACCCAGACTGTGTGATCCAATTAATTATATTTTGCAAAGCTCTACAGCAGGCCAGGAACATGGACTGAGTGAATGGCAAACAAAGCATGGTGGCCCAGCCATATGCACCACATGTGTCTGAGGCAGCTATTCCTCAAACACCTGCGCTTAGATGGGCACTCTCCTAACAGTGCAACAGAGGATATAGGATTATGTTGGCTCTTTAGGTGATGTGGTGGGTGCTGACCCAGCACCCAACCTGAACACAAGAACAGGAGACACACACTGGACTTACAATGATCTGCACAGTAAGCAGTCCCTCTCCAGCATCTCTAGCATCAATGGTGAACTCAACAGGGAGACTAGCTGGCACTCCAGAGGCATTAAGTCCTGGCCCACTTGCTCGCACCTTGCTGGCATCATGGGTTGGCAGAACCTTAATCTTGAAGGGACTGCAAAAAAATAACAGGCATTAAAAAAAAAGGTTAACTGGCACTTGGAGTAACAAGTTATTAAAGCCAGCACAGACTTCAAGGCAAATCAAGCTCAGCTAATTTAATGCGGTCCTTTGAGGATGTAACTGAGGGTTGATCAGGATAGTGTGATTGAAGAGTGCACCAAATTTCAAAATAGCAATTAACAAAGTACTACATTAGTAAAACTGAAGCCCATGGGAGATTGAAAAGGACAGTAGCCACGTGGATACAACTATCAGCAAAGGGGTAAAAAGCACAGCAGTAAACAGTTGCTTCTCAGGTAAAAGAGGGAAGTGCTGAATGGCATTCCCAGCTGCCAGAAGTAGGACATGATGGTGTTAGATGAGGGTTTGGACAATGTTCATGGGCAGAATTCTAAAGAAAGAATCAAATGGATGTGTTAACTCAGATGACTTCCTACTTTTGAACATTCCACACCGCTTAAATGATCAAATGGTTTACAGCACAAGAGCCAGGTTCCACTCATCAAAACTTCAGGGAAGAGAAAACACCTCAACTTGAGGTGCAAAAATACTCAGGACTGTTAATCAGACAGGTCATTTACCTGTTGGTTCTGATGAATGGGTCACCCACACAAAACATTACTCCAAAACCTTAGAAGAAAGTAGTTAGATCTGTAGCTCGGGTTGTGGGTGTTGAGGTTGGTTGGCTCGCCGAGCTGGTTTGTTGTTCTGCAGACGTTTCGTTACCGTGCTTGGTAACATCCTCAGTGCAGCTTCTGACAAAGCGTCGGTGTGTCTTCCCGCCTGGTTTTTAAACTCTGCGGTCCGTTGCGATGGATTGCCTCACTTCCGGGTTTCCTCCGTAGTGGAATGTATATGTGTTTATTAATAGCCTGCTTCGTGGAGTGGCATGCTTCCAGGAATTCTCGTGCTTGTCTTCGCCTAGCCTGCCCCAGGATCTTGGTGTCGTGGTTCAAAAAGACACGAACAATACGCACTCATCTCAATCCACATCTCAATCCACATGGACAAGGAGAACCACGACTTCGACTGGGACAACACCAAGATCCTGGGGCAGGCTAGGCAGAGACAAGCACGAGAATTTCTGGAAGCATGGCACTCCACGAAGCAGGCTATTAATAAACACATAGAACTCGACCCCATATACATTCCACTACGGAGGAAACCCGGAAGTGAGGCAATCCATCGCAACGGACCCCAGAGTTTAAAAACCAGGCGGAAAGACACACCAATGCTTCGTCAGAAGCTGCACTGAGGATGTTACCAAGCACGGTAACGAAACGTCTGCGGAACAACAAACCAGCTCGGTGAGCCAACCAGCCTCAATACTTCTCCTTCCATAGGTGCTACCCATCCTGAGCATGTCCAAAATGGGGTTTTTATTTCACTATCTGTAATACAGAAACTTTTCTATCATCATTACCAGTAAATCCTCCTCTGGCACCCAGATTAGGCAATACCCCAGTTGGGAGCTAACGGAGGATTTATAAAAGAAGGTTTAGCTTGGAGATTTTCAGGGATACATTACGGAATACTAACCTGCGAGGAACCTCCTGGTCTGCGTATTTGACAGAGACAGTGAAGGGTCCATCCGTGGCAGGTGTGTAGTGAACAGTGTGGGTCCCATTGCCATTATCAATAATCTTTGCAGGTTCAGATACACCTGGAACAGGGAGACAGGAGCCACAGATCACCAACAGTCAATACATAAACCTTTACCACTTCATCCTCCATATCCAATTCTTCCCCCACTGCATGTTATCAACAAGTTCAGATCATCATAAATCCCCCCACCGACAAAAAAAAGGCAAGTCTTCAGACTTCAGTTTCAACACAAGCACCTGCCATTTTGCAACAAACCCCACCGGAGACTTACCTGTAGGTCCAAGGATCAGCACCTTGAGCGGTGCCAGCCCAGCCTTGCTACAATCAACAGTGAAAGTCTGGGGTACATGTGCCCGTACCCCAGTGCCCAGCCCAGGGCCTGAGCACTTCACCTTGCTTGGATCTACCAGCTCTTTGACTGGCACGCGGAATGCACTTCCTGTCAACACAAAATCAAAAATTATTTCTTTTTAAAAAAAAACCATGCATGGTATTGGTCATAACCAACACAGAACAGGGAGTTCCCAATACACACCTCCCGAGAGGAGGCACTCAAACCTTAGCTGCTGCTTTATGTTAACAGCAACTGTATGAATGTAGTGATTTGAGGAGGAGTCCACAGCTAGGAGTGGACTCCTTACCCAACAAATGAAAATCCTGCTTCTCTACACTAGTTCCTCTACGAGGGAGGCCTGTCCCTCAAGCACAGGTCAAATAGAACGGACATTTTACCAGAGTTTCGAAGATTTCAATGAAAAGTATAAAATACTTAAAGGTTTGACAGGGTGGATGCAGTTTCCCTCTGGCCAGAGAATGTAAAACTAGTCACCTTGCAGTTAATCCAAAGCAGGTCTACTCACCCGGAATAGGGTGCCCTCCAAATGTAATGTTGACATCGTAGTCTCCAGGGGTGAAGGGGATGTACTCAACACTGCAGCTTCCATCCTTGTTGTCCTTGCAGGACATCTTAGCCTCTGAAGGCCCCTCAATGGCCAGCCCAAGGCCTCCAGTACCTGCTCCCCTAAACAGAGACACAGAGGGGTCAGGGTAGACATTAGGAAATAATAGATTACCATCCTGTCCCAAAAGGGACATCCAGCTGGTCACTTATTACAGCTGGGAGCCAACTAAACCCCAACATGTGGCCCAGCCACATTCCACTTTATTGCCCACCTGCAAACTGGATGCACCAGGAAATCCCTAATCCTCAGGCACAGCCTCAGAATGGACCAGCATCAAGTGAAGCAAAAAAGAGGACACCATGAGGTGTTCACAAAACTAAATAAAAAAAGTTAGCTGCAATTTACATTAGTAGACAGCAAGTGTGGGAAGGAGATTAAATGGCTACCCTGATGCAATTTCTCATTCTCTAACTGATGGTTCAGGTTCTTTACCTACAAGTTCAGGCTGCATCTCACCTGGTTTCCACGGTGAATCGGTTGGGTTTGTTAACTAGGCCTCCCTCCAGACCTGGCCCATAGGCCCGAACACGGGTTGGATCACATCCTTCAGTGACTCCAACTCTGAATGGACTCTTGGGAAGTGGGACATCATCATAGAGTACTTCGATCATATGCACTCCTGGACACGAAAAGGAGCAGAGAGAGAGAAAATAAAAAAGGTGAAGTGAATGGAATCCCTTTGCAGCAATCTACATACTAGTGCTACTGCACTCTAGTGAACTGACAGCAAGCTCAGGTACCAGCAATGGATAACTTTCCTACTCACACCCTGCTTGCCGAATGGAGGGGCTTTTCCTCCAATAAGACAAGGAAGGCAGTCCCTACTCCAAAATGGAAGGCAGAAAGGTGGAGGGAAAACAGCTGCAAAACACCCTTTCATGAGAAACTGATTGGTGGAAACTCAGATAGGATTCTATTCATCACTTCCTTCAGGTCTCAAGAACTGCCTTGAGGGACAGGGAGAATCCCAGTGTCTTTGACCCCTTGGCTCCTAGATGGGGGCAGGACAGATGGAACTCAGCAACCTAACACAGGAGGGAGAAAGGGGGAACGCTGTAATAGATTTAAAATCTCCAAAAGCAGCCAGGGTTTAAGAGCAAACTGAATGGCCTAATGAAACACACAGTCAGTTTGCATGGAGCCCACAGGCTGTCCCACTCGACACCTAACCACGGAATGAACTCTGGATTGACAAAGGACTAGGATACTCACAGGGAACCAATATGGCATCTACAATAAATATTGGTCTTTGAAATCACTAAGTCCAACAGCAAATTAAAACAGAAATAAAAAAGGAGAAACCTAGTAGCATAAAGCCTCATTGTCACTTACCATCTTCATAGGCAGTGTACTCCACATGGTATGTTCCGTCTCCATTGTCCTTAATGAAGCTGTCAGTCATGGCTCCAGATGGATTGGCAATACGAACTTTGATGTGGTTCCCACCAGTCTTGTTAAGAGACCGAGAATCTACAGTGAACTCCGTGGTAACCTCCCGGAGGACACCTGGAATAAAAATCGGTAAAATCAGACAGTTCCCCTCAGTTCCTTTCTACAATAATGATCCTAATGCCCTTCAGTAAAAGACTTTCCCCCTATTCAGTCCCAATATTTTGGATCCATTGCTGTATTCCAAGTAATGTATTACCTTTCATCATTTATCTGATGAATGACAGACACTGGTCATAGACTGTCCTGTTGAGTAAGTATCTGGTCTCTCTCTCGCTCTCTCTCACACACACACACACACACACACACACACACACACAGTAGAAGTTTAAAGAACAGCGATTGAACAAGTATAAACTGTTGCCTTACCACGAGGCTCAACTCCTGGTCCGAACACTTTCATCCCTGTGGTGTCAATGGCTGGATCAACCCTGACACGGGCTGGAAATTTGGGCACTGCATGCCCACCGTACTTGATGGTTATGGTGTACATGCCAGGGAACGGTGGAATGTAGGTGATGCCAAAAGTCCCATCACTGTTGTTCTGAATATGAACTTCAGCTTTGGCACCAGATTCAGAAATGATCTCAATTGTCAGCTCAGCATCCCCTGCCTTGGAACAATCCACAGTGAAAGTTGCTGTTTCGCCCACTTTACCATGCTCCAGCCCTGGACCACTGGCTGTGACCTTGCTGGGGTCAAAGAGAGGTTTGATGTCTGCTTTGAAGGGGGATCCTGGGATGTGGGCCTCAGCAAACAGAATATTGACCGTATATTCACCAGGTTCTGTTGGGAGGTACGAGACAGAGCAGGAACCATCACCATTATCTTGGCACTCAATCTTTGCTTCACAAGGACCTTCTACAGTCAGACCAAGTCCACCAGTGCCAGCACCCTTAGTGTCAATGGCAAAGGGAGCTGCTTTTCCAACTACACCGCCTTTGAGGCCTGGCCCATAGGCCCGAACCTGAAACAGAATCAGAATCAGAATTGCTCATTTCATTTGTATAAAAAGGAACATCTCAAGGTCTTCACAGATTCATTATTTTCATACTTGGTTAGGTATGGTCACAATTACACTATAGTCCTGGCTTCCAGCCAGAGATCTCTTACTTCTAGGGCACTCCACTCCTATACATTACTTCCATAGGAAAAGGATTAAAAAAATCTAGAACAGCTGTCCCAACTTCTAGATATTCCTTACAGTCAGTCATAATTTGAAAATTTTGCACACAAACTCCAAACAGCTTAGTATTTTTTTTAAAAAATTCATTCATTAGATAAGGGCGTCGCTGGCCAAGCAGCATTTATTGCCTACCCCAAATTGCCCAAAGGGCAATTCAAGAATCAACCACATTGCTGTGGGTCTGGAGTCACATATAGGCCAGACCAGGTAAGGATGGTAGTTCCTTTCCTAAAAGGACATTAATGAACCTGATGGGTTTTTCCAACAATCGACAATGCCTTCATGGTCATCATTAGATTCTTAATTCCAGATATTTATTGAATTCAAATTCCACCATCTACCTTGGCAGGATTTGAACCCAGGTCCCCAGAACATTACTTGGGTCTCTGGATTAACAGTGATAATACCACTAGGCCATCAACTCCAATATGTATGACCAGATAAACATTTTAGTCATGAATGTTGAAAGATTAATATCAGCAAGGACAATTCTCCTGCTTCTCTTAAATTTGCAACAGGATCTTTTATGAATGCCTGAGAGGACAATTAAATCTCAGTGCACAGGACTTCTTGACTCTGCTCTGGGAGACATGGTCTGGATTTGGAGTTCCAGACTCTAATGGATTTTGATAAACCTCTGAACTCAGGACAGTGCTATCCACGGAGCCACAGGTCCTACAGTCTTCAGAGGGTAATGGGCAAACTCAAGAAAGGGTGGATAGGGTCAGGTCACTAGACCAGAGTAAGGAACACGGGAATGCTGCAGTGGGGTTAGAATTCGATGGATTGCAGTGGCGGGGGGGGGGGGTGAAGTCATCAATAGAGGAGCCAATAAATTGCCCAGTTTTGTTTTAAATCCAAGTACAGATTGCAATGAATAGGAACTCATCATCCATCTTGACTATGCAGTTTTATGAAAGGAGGAGAAAACGGAATGCTCAGAGTCAGGACCCAGAATATGAAATGAGTGAAGAATTTGCCTCCATCTCCCAATAACCACCATAATTCTTTAGCCTTTGGCAAGGTGAGTGTGGGTGGCAGTAGTTAAGCAGGAAACCTCTTCACCAGCGAGTGATGATCGTGCATTTGTCCCAACCCAGTGTTAGCCCTGAATAGCCTTGCGTAATGCAAAGGGCCCTATTTCCACCACCAGCTCTTGCTGCTCTGTTCTGATACCAAACTTCAAAGTTTTCTCACCTTGGTGGGGTCCGGGGGCATGATCCCCTCCACTGTGAAAGGGCTTCCAGGTACTGGGTGCCCATCGTAACTGATGTCCACTTTGTAAGGCCCCTCCTCAGGTGGCATGTACTTCACAGAGTGAATGTCATTGGTAGAACCTGTTTCCACTTTGCAAGGGATAGGTCGGCGGGACGGAGAGGTGATTTTCACATCAACCTTGCCCTGACCTCCTGCACCTCGAGTGTTAACACTGAATTCCTGATCCTTCCCGACATCAACTTCTGCAAGAAAGAAACAACAACAGCTGGTGTTTATGTAGCACTGGTATCATGCCTTCGTATTCCCAAGCTGCTTCATAGGAGCTACAAAGCCACAAACCAGAGGTTGAGCAAGAGAGTTCCAGAGCCTGGGTACGGGAAGCTGAAGGGACAGCGTGGCCAATGACAGCGTAATTAAAACCAGGTAGGCTCAAGCAGCTAGAATTGGAGACATCCACATCATACAAAACGTTTGTAGGGCTGGAGGAGGCCACCAAGGGGAGGGATGAAGCCATGGTGGCTATCAGAAAATGAGAGAGAGTGTGGTCAGGAGTCAGCGAGCAAGGCAGGGGTTGGGGGGAAAAAAGAAAAAAAAAAAAAAAACAAACACAACAAAAAAAAAAAAGTGTCTGCCTGTGGATTTCGACCCATTATCCTCACGGTCTTCAAGCCCCAGTTCACAAGGTGTTGAGCTAAACGCCAATTGCTTCAGATGATCCCCACGTACATCCCCTTCAAAGGGCTTTACAGTGAGCAATCGCACTCCAAAACGGTGCCATCACCAGCACAGCAAGCAGTGGCAGAGCATACAAATGGAACCTGCAGGAAACGCGGAGTCTGCCGTGCACAAAGACGTGGAGTCAAGTAAGCGGAGGTTCACATCTCATTAGCAAACGGGTGAGGTTACAGCAGTTATCAAGTGGCAACGCTCCTGCAGTCTCAGGCCCTGGTCAGACCACCATGACGTACGAGCGCGAATTTCAGACTAACAGCTGAAATATTTATGACAATTTAATGATCTTACTGTTGTGGAGTCCCTGCACTTTGACCTTGTTCAGATCGAGAGGCGGAGCCACACTGACAGTAAATGGACTCTTGGGAACCTGGTCACCTCCATAAGTCACTGCCACCAGCAAGTTACCCTGCAACGAGACCACAGGCCATTGGTTAGAAAAAGAGCAAACCTTCAAAGTCTATTGCTTTATATACAACACTTAATCTAGATATAGAAAAGCTGGGTGCAAACCCCAGACTTCAGAACTACCCAACTAGGTACACACCCCATCCAGTCCCCACTCAGTCTCCCCGGATACACACCCCAACCAATCCTAGCACCAACTCCCCGGATACAAACCCCAAAAGATTTGTTCCGGTCCCATTAAGATGCAAACCCCAGCATTCTCCTAATAGAAAAACAAACCTCGGCACTGCTCCACTGCGTACAAACCCCATCGCCACCCACTCAAAACCAGCTCTAGGCCCCTCCCAAGTCCACTCCCACCTGTTGCACGGCTGTGTATTTCACGGTGTAGGAGTAGTCGTGGTTATCGATGATCTCGAAGTCTCGGACGGCCTCTCCTTTCGCCGCTCCAGTGAACTGGACGTCCAGTGCGGCCTTGCCAGCTCCCTTTGTGTAGACGGTGAAGTGAGTGGGTTTGCCAACCTCAACACCTGGGAACAGAACAGGATCAGCTTAGAGAGCAGGCCAGCGTGAGGAACCACTCAAGGCTAATACCAAAGCCTAGCAAAGCCCACTTAACATCAGGCAGCACCAGGAGTCAGTACATCCACCTCCTCCTGCCCCCTCCCCCATCCCAGTCAGTGCTAGCTGGAGAGTTCTAGGGTGGGGTTTTAATCCATCTCGGTCCCTGTATTCCACTGTCACTACTCAACTGGCCATCAATGCTGGGAGCTGGCCGTTCCTATTTGCTATAATGCAACTCTCCCACTTAGCTACACCAACAGGAATTGCAATGCTGTTCCCAGACTGAAGTAACCCAATAGGGACAGGACCCCTCAGTCCTGAAGACTCCATGGGGTTTAATTGTTCAAGAATTTACCATGAACTCCTCCCATCTCCAAGTGGGAAAACAGTCTTATATCCATCCCATGTTTATAAACCATGGAAGCACAATAGGATCATAAAGACATAGAAACAGAATAAAGGCCATTCCACCCATCGAGTCTGCTCTGCCATTCCATCATGGCTGATGAGCTGGTTAAGACCAGCTTTATTCTCTCCCTGGTGGTGTCATTTATTTCTACGCCCAGGAGATTCACTTTTAGTTTGGGAGACTCCAAGACAGTCCTGGGAATATTGGTGACCCTCAGCTTCAGCAGAGGCACTTGCACAATCAAACATCTCCTCACCAGTCCGACTCAACCCAGGGCCTTCAGCCTTGACCTTTCCAGCATCATGCGATGGCTCCACCTTAATACGGAATGGGCTGATAGGAATTTCCTGTTGGGAAAAAAAAAAATCAGACAGAAATGTGTTAGAAAATGGGCCAGAGACAGTGGGTGGAAGTCAGCAGACTGTGGTTTGGAATGGGGTAGGGGCAAAACTGATCAGACACTTTAACCTGGTCAAACATCCCAAGGAGGGATTAGTGGAAATCGGATGTGAGCTGCTCCCCATCGCAGTCCTGACCAAGCGATTACTGAAACTCATCGGACGGTGCTTCTCTTAATCAAGGCCCAGCTCAACAGTTCAGTGACAAACTTTGGCAAAATGTGACAGTGGCTGTGTGTGCAAGATCAGCAAGATCCCACAAGCAATGAGATCAAATGATTAGTTAACATCTTCCTAGAGATGTACATAAACTTCCTGCTTCTTCCAGTAACAACTTGGGCCCTTTAAAATACCCACCTGAACAAAGAACAGGCAAACAGGATTTTGGATTAAATTCAAATAATGACAGTGTAATTAAAATCAGGGATGCTCAAGCAGCTAGAATTGGAGGCATCCACGTCACTCAAAACATTTGTAGGACTGGAGGAGGCAAACACAAATCAGCTTAACATTGTACACTCCTAGACCCAGAGGATCTGGTGCATCTAACCACAGCTCATCCAGGAGTTGACTGAACCTTAAAACATGATCAAAATAGGTTTTTATGTCAAAAGGGACTAAGAGACATAGAAGTTTGAGTGCCTTAGTTAGACCTCACCCAGAGTATTGCATTCAGCAAGGATACACTGAGCTCAGGGGTGGGATTGGGGTTGGTACAGGTCCACCACAGTGACACCATAGTTAAAAATGGGGAAATTTGAGGCCAGCTTGTGCTCCCTTAAATCAAGATTAAGCAAGATCCAACTAAGGTGTTTAAGATGATTAAAGGCTCCAATAGGACAAATAGAGCACAACCAATTCTAATGGTGTGCAAGCCCACAAGGGAGCAGAGCCTCAAAATGAGAGCGAGAGCTGCTCAGATAAATCATGTTTTCATACAAAAAAAAACAGTAATGGAGGACTGGAATGCTCACCCCTAAAAAGCAGCTGATGATGGGGATGAAAAAAGTTTAAAAGATAGAACAATTGATTGTTAAGCAAGGGTATTATGGGATGTGGAGCAAAAAGATCTTAAAAAGAGAAGAGAAGAGAAGAGAAGAGTGGAGGTGCAGATTAGCTACAATCAAACTAAAATGCAGACAGGGTAAAATGCCCAAGCGGTCTCCTCCTGTTTGATGTATCCTTTATCAAGGAGAAGCTTTAGATTCTGCTATCCTTCAGAATAGGAAAGTCCAGCCTTCTCAACAGAAGCCAGATGAGAATTTGAACTGCATGTAATCCAACAAATGTGTAACAGGAACAAAAACAAAGTTGCTGGAAAAGCTCAGCAGGTCTGGCAGCATCAGTGAAGGAGAAAAACCGAGTTAACGTTTCGGGTCCAGTGACCCTTCCGCAGAACTGTATAACAGGGTCTGTGTATCTGTCATACCTGGTCAGCAAACAGCACCATGATGGTATAGCGTCCTGGTCCGGGAGGCGTGTACTTCACAGTGAAAGTGTCATTATCATTCTTAATGATGTCAAAATCGATGTCAGCCTCAGCAGGTCCCACGACTCCTGGGGCACACTTAATGCCAATGCTCACATCACCTGGTCAAATAGAGAACAGATTGAGATTCACATGGAAGGCAACTCTAACAGTTAGGGCAAAAGATGTAATGGAGGGCTCCTCTCAAAGCAAGACAAATAATGTCTAGTAAAAACTGGTAAGTGACCTTGTCTGGTAACAGCTGTACTCCCCCACCTTCACATTTCACCATCTAACAGCCAGTTGTTTCACGTGATATGGGTACCACAGGCTAGGTCAGCATTTATTGCTTAACCCAGATTGCCCAGAAATGATGGTAACCTGCCTTCTTCAAATCCCTGCAGTTCAGGGTGGTGCAAGGACATCCACAATGTTGTTAGAGCAGGAGCTCCAGGAACATTGAAGAAACAGCAATATTTCCAAGTCCAGATGCTGTGTTGCTCAGAGGGCAATTTGCAGGAGGATGTTTCCACACATCTGTTGCCCTGGTACTTCAAGGTCAAAGGTCAAGAACCCCATGCACCCTCAGCACCAAGCCTTTGGGCCCCAATACATCCATCTTTCCTGCAACTTACATTTCCATGACCCATTCCGAAAACCCCGCCATCCTTTAGTCACTTCTGTATCTCCACTGCCACAATTCCTTTAACATGGACTTTAAAAAGTTAACGTTACCAACAAAAGCATGATGTGGTACTGTACTGGTCAACCACCTTGTAAAAAACCATATACATAACATGAATGGTGCTACCCCAAAAAAAAATCCTCCAAATACTTCAAAACAGTGCTCAGAGTCAAACACTATTGCTCTCTTGCATTTTGACTGACTGTCATTGAGAAAAGTATGGGCTAATAAATGGAAGTCATTTTGTCCCCGCTTGTCTCTACTTTCCCTGCTCCTGACAGGAGACCAACAAGCCAATATTTCCCAGATCAATGTCCCTCTCTTTTCACACAAGAAAACTCTGCACCACAAGGCAGAAGGGCTTGCTCGAGACTTACCTTGTCCAGCCTCACTACAATCCACAGTGAAATACGTTGGCTCATTAGCCTTGAGTCCAGTTTTCTCCACACCCGGTCCATAGACTTTCACTTTCTGTGGGTGGCAGCCCTCACCCACTGATACCTGCAGCACATGGAGCATAAAATGGAGTGAAGGAAGGAGTGGTTGACCAAAAATGGAGCAAAAAGAGATGTAATAGCAAGGAGCAATGGCACAGGACTCATACAGAACAGGCAAAGTGTGACAAATATTTTGTTGTAATTTCACATTCATGCAAAATTTCACACCCTGCAAAGCTGATCACTATTGCTCACTAACCAGCCCATCTCAATCTCGGTTTTCCGACTCAGTGTCAGTGTCAGACTGAGTTGTTGGGTTTGATCCCACCAACAGAACTCCATTCGACTCTCATATCCCACACTTACCCTGAAAGGACTGTTGGGGATATTGACACCACCCCAGCTGATGATGATGGTGTGTTTGATGGGTTTCCGGGGCACGTACACACACTTGAACGTGTTGTCTCGGTTGTCCTTGATCTGGATGTCAATAGGAACACCTTCCGCATCCTTAGGCAGGGAAGAAATTGGTGTAAAAGACAGTAGTAATTATTGTACTGTGCCAAGCAGAAACTAAGAATAGCCAATCTCTGCCCACTAAAACAGACATCTCTTCCTCCACATTTTGGCAGTTAATTTAATGCCAAAGAGCAGATAAAATTCCTACTGCTCCGAAGAAAAATGTGTCGACAGTCTTCCTTATGGACCCTACTCCAGTGAATGCTCTCTCCTCCCATCCCCATTGTGATGGTGCTGACTGACCCTCTCGTTCCCAACCCACTCCAATACCCAATTATGCTGACTCTCTCGTAGTCAAGTGGAAGGTTTCAATCGGTAACTATCCACACGAGCAAAGAATGGTCTCCCTGCATACAACTGCTCCCTCTGCCCCATCCCAGCCTCCTGATCAGCAAATCTGATCTAGTGGCAGGTACCACCCTGATAGATACCAGCCCCAAAGCATTACCAACCTGCGCATAGATCTTCAGTTCACCCTTGCCTGCTGCCCGTGCATCAATAGTAAATTCAGCTGGTTTGTTCACAATGCAGCCTGTTGGCTCCAAACCTGGGCCAAAAGCTTTCACCTAAAGAACAGAATAAGATTGAGAGAAAGATGGCATAATGAGCAGTGAATTCACCCACTTGCACAGTAACCAGTCAAAGCAGACTCGGTAGTACCAGTATTACACGGGTCAGGTGTTTTATTCTCACGTTGCAACTTCAATTCTGAAGTGCATGAAGGAAAAAAACAAATAACAAATCATTCCTTCAATTCCTGTTCTTTTTTAAAAAAAATAAATCACAATCACAACATGCAGCAAAAAAAGTCACTGGCAAGGCTATTATATACAAGCCATGCTGAACAGTCTAAAAAAGGTAGCAGTCAGCTGTCCTCTTGATCCACAGAACACAACATGTAATTAGAGGCCAGCAATGTAGATCAGCACCAATGGAGCACTGCCCTATTGGAGGGGCATTCCAGAGGGAATGTTGTACTGTCCGAGGTGCATTACAAGATACACTGCAGTAACTCACCAAGGTTCCTTCAACAGCACCTTCCAAACCCACAATCTCAACCACTAGAAGGAAAAGACAGCATTTGCACACAACACCACCACCGCCTGCAAAGCTGCCATCCAAGCCATTCACCATCCTGCCTTGAAACTATAATTGCTATCCCTTTATGGTCACTGGGTCAGAATCCTGGTACTTTCTCCTGAAAGCACTGTGGGTGCAGGACTGCAGCAGTTACAAGAAGTCCATAACCTCTCAAAAGGCAAATAGGAATGGGCAATAAATGCTGTCCCAGCCATTGAAGGAGAAAGAAATTCTAATACCGTCCATTGCCAAGAAAAGTATGTTGGTCACAGATAGACTCCTGGGATTTGTTTACACACGACACCCACCTTCTCTGGGAAGCATTCATTGTTTGCAGGGAGGATGTGAGCCATGTAGGGACTGTCCTTAATGTCTTCATCGTCACAGATCACATGCACAGCATAATCACCGGGCTCAGTGGGCCAGTACCGCACATCACATGACCCATCACCTTTATCATCACATTCAATCTTAGCTTGAGAGGGCCCTTCGATGGAGAACCCTGAAAAACACAACAGATTTGTTGCGAATGGTTTAAACCATTGTAGAACAAGCTCCACCAGACATTCCTAGGGCAGGTACAGCATAAGTAAGACAGCAAAACAAAGACTTTTTCAGTGCACTGACATTGTGCATTAGCCTATGTGTGCACCATTGGCTCCATTTCAACAGGATGATGCCAAAGAGAATGAAGAGTATTGACAGGGTTTGACACTGGATCAGGACCAGGGCAGCCTGTGAATACACGAACCCCATCTTGAAAACAGCAATAACTAACGTGATACTTACCCAGTGTCCCAACTTCGGTTCCAATCGCCTCGACAACAAAATCAGCTGACTTGCCCACGACCCCAGTCTCCAGGCCTGGTCCCCAGGCTCGTACTTTCTGAGCCCCAGCTTCTGGTCCAACCTCCACCTCAAATGGACTAAGAGGGGACCAAAAAAAAAAAAAAATTCAGTACAACCAACAACCAATATCTTGAGATAGTAGGAACTGCAGATGCTGGAGAATCCGAGATAACAAGGTGTAAAGCTGGATGAACACAGCAGGCCAAGCAGCATC